ACAAGTTCCTTTCCAGGAGAATTGTTTGTTAGTTGCATTCATTTGTAAGCTGACAAAATGAGTCTTACACAGTACACTTGTGAAGGTTCATGACTCAAGTCTGTGTAAGTCCAGGGGCTCCCAGTACTTCTTAAGAGCTATTCCTCATGCTATTTATTTTTAGCTTATTTTAACTTTAAAAAATTTCCAGTTGACATTTATGCTTATTTATGGGTAGAGTGTGTAGTTTTTTTAAAAGACTTTTGGACCTTTTATGGGATAGAGTATGTAGTTTTTTTAAGAAAAGACCTTTGGTTCAAAGACCCAGAACCAAGACGCCCCTCCCCTACTTTTGTAACAGTGTACTCACAGATGCGTTGCAGTGGCCATGTGGCTTAGGATGGTACTCCTAGAAAGAGTGAAACTCTTTGTTCTAATCATGCTGCAGACTTGCTGTGTGGCCCTAGTTAAATGCCTTAGTCTGTTTTGTTTTGCCCCAGAATCATAGGTCCTTGGTGCCTGTACCTCATCACTTGCTCTTTACTCATATTAAAGACACACCACCCTGACTCGATTCACTAGAGTGTCCCACTGGGAGGCTCCACGTGCCCTCTGTGTGTGCACGCTCCCATGTGGCGTGGCTTTCAGAGGCTGACAGGTACAGCAGAAGAAAAGGCTTGTGTTCCTGTGAAGCTGGGCTTGAATGCAGTGCATAATGGTTTCTTTGATGAGGTGACAGTATTCATATATTGCGTACTTACTGTATGTCCTGCACTGTGATAGGTGCTAGGGACACATTGTGCATAAGTTAGGACCCATGCTTGCGAAGCTTGCAGTTTGACATGAGGCAGATGGTCAGGTAAACAGATGGTCACCGAGAATGAGAACAAACCTGCTCCAGGCAGAAGGAAGAGGTGTGAGATCCCTTTTGTGAAAGCAAAAAAAGACAACCTCATGGTACCTTCAAGGAGCATCCTGCACGTGACTGCCAGGCAGGGTTTGTAGGTAGGTGTGACAGAGTGTGAAAACAGAGAGGGCATGGGCCAGAAAGAAGGGCCCTGGGAACTTTACTGAGGGGTCTGGGCCTTTATCTTGGCTAGGGAGTCACGAGGGTGTCAAGCAGAGGAGTGTAGTGGAACTTGGCATTTTAGAAAGTTTGTAGTTGGGTACAGTGCACTCATGTTTGCTCACATACAGAGTTAAGTGAGCTAAGTTGAAGGTGTTTGATGTGTTTAAGAATGAAAATTGAGAACTCACTGGTTTACTTGTTTGCTATTTGTAATGGGCTTTATTCTTTAAAAAATTTTAATTAGCAAAGAAAATCTAGATAGTTTGGAAAGAACAAAATGCAATAATTTACAATGTTATATTGAAGATAACATAATTGGATTATAAAGATACTGAATGCTCTTTATTTTTCTTTCGTGGTGGTGCTGGGGATGGAATCCAGGATCTCTCTCTTGCTGGGCAAGCATTCTCCAACTGAGCCATACCCCGAGTCCCGAATAATTACTCTCATGTAGGATCTTCTGTATATTGCTGCCCCAGTAGCCCAGGGACTAACGCATCCCCATTATGTTTGCAGGAGCGACAGAAACAGCTAGAGAGCCTTGGGATATCGCTTCAGTCTTCAGGAATCAAAGTTGGGGATGATAAGTGCTTCCTGGTTAATCTGAACGCTGACCCTGCTCTGAATGAACTTCTGGTGTACTACTTAAAGGTGAGGTGATGTGGCTGCACACTCTGTAATGCTGCACGGTACTTTCAAACTTGGGGAAGCACACTCATTCAGAAAACAGAGTTAGCACGTGGTTTTTATTTGAATAAACCAGAACGTAGAACAGTCTTGAGGTTCTGTGATCAGTTTCCCTTTTTAGTCTTTGAGTGATGTCATTCAACCTAGTCATATAAAAATGTATTTTGGTATTATTTTCAACAAGTTAAATAGCTTACCTAATGTTATTGATAACTTACATGAGGGAATGATTGTAAAGGATTGTAAAGTTTGTTTATTTATTGTCTTTTTGAGACCGGGTCTCGCTGTGCAGTTCAGGCTGACCTTGAGCTCACTTTGTAGCCCAGGCTGGTCTCAACCCCCAACGATCCTCCTGCCTCAGCCTCCTGAGTGCTGGGATTACAAGCATGAGCCATCACGCCCAGCTAGGAGTGTAAAGTTTAAAAGATGACTTTTAAGATCAAATGATTCCTTTAGTCACTGGATGAAGGTGACTGGTTTATATGAAGCTTTTTGTGAACATTTTTGTCAGGTCATGAGAAGAAATGTTTAAAGAAAGTAAAATTCTTAGGACCACTTACTAGGGAATTTATTTTTCCAGTGACTCTTAGAAAAATAAAAAAATTTGAATTTATTATCTGTAAGGAAAGAGAGAGATCACTTAGAAACTGAGAGGGCCAGAGTATGGAACAGAAAAAAAGACAAATATTGATGTGTTAGTCAGTTTTTCTTTGCTGTGACAAAATAATGAGAAAAGAGAGGGTTATTAAAGGTTATTTTTAAAGGAGGAAGGTTTACTTTGGCTCACGGCTTCAGGGTCCTCAGTCCACGGTCACTTGGCCCTGTTGCTGCTGGGGTAGTGGTGAGGCAGAACATCAGAGCAGACGGGACAGAGAGAGAAATAGAGAGGGGTCTCATATCCCCGTCAGAGGTGCCCCATGACCTGCTTCGTCCACCCAGAACCCTCCTCCTCAAGGCTCCACCACCAGCTGGGGACTGAGGGCTCAGTATGTAGACACTTGGACATTGCAGAACCATTGCATACCATAACATTGGTATACACTGAAAGTTGTAAATCATGGGACATGTTAGACAAGACAACTTTAGGAAAAGCTCACATCTTGAGATACCACAAAAATTATGAGGAGGACTCCCAATTGCCTTTGTCAAACCCAGAGCATAAGTTAGTGTTGTCATGGACTTTATTAGGATGTAGTTTCTTTCCTCCTTGTGTAGGTGGGATTAATGAATGTAACTAGGAATGTAAAGCAGATGAGCTGATTAGGTTGGAAATAGCTTTAAAAACAGCAAATCATGTGATTTCATTTATAAAAAGGCTCATGTTGGTTGGTTCCCCACTATTTATTTGAAGATAACTTTGAACAATTGCTGTGTCATTTTGATAAGCTCCAGTTGTTAATAAGTATCTTATCCCATGCTTGGTTATGTTGTGAGCTGAAATGAATCTGACACATGCCATGATCTGTGCATATCTCAGGCACTGTAGTACTGGGGTAGCAGCACTGCGGAAGGAGGCGGGCGGCCTGTGTGGCAAATACATGCTCAAGGCCTTTGCCCCTTCTCCCCTTCCATCTACAGGTTCTTCCTTTGCAAACACATGGAAGTTACTCTTAACTACTGTGGTGGGTTAATATGGTTAATATGTGGAATCACTTCGTAAGCAAACACTTCACATGGGTTTTCCACATCCCACTTTCATTTGATACTCCGTGGTCCCTCACACAAATAGTAACCTTGTCTGTTAAAAAGGATGCATTATTGTGCTTCTGACCAGCACTGGCAGCTTTTTGACCTGGAGAGTCAGCAGTACACATTCGCATTAGAATGGCACTTAACTCTGCTGCCCTTTTTGTTTCCCAGTCCTAGGAATTTTTTTCTTTCTGATACGATGAACTTCAAGTTGGAATACACAGACACACAAACAAGAAAAAACCCTGACTCATATCTGTTCCTTCGCTAAAAACTTGAACAAAGAAACCATTCAGAGATTTTTGGAGGAGTCAGAACATTTCTGGTCATTTGTGTGGAGGTGTCTGGTTCCATTTCAGACTGTGTGGTCAGCCCTGTGTGGCCAGTGTTGGAGGCAGTGTCAGTGCCTTGACTGCCCAAGCCATCCCCACAACAAGGCCATATTCATGACCAAGCACATTCAAACGGGTGGTCTCAGTCCCAGAACAGTTTTCGCTTCAGTAAAGTGACACCCTGATGTGGGATGGTGGAATTTGGAGACTGCGCTTTTTTCTTTCTCTGCCTTGAGCTTCTCGAGTCAGTTGAAATGCTGGACATGTAACTCCTCACTTCTTCAGACAACTTTAGCGCCCCCATCTGTAGGGAAGTCAGATTAAACATCCCTGGAGTTCCTTCTGATTCCAAGTTGCACTGCCTCTTGTTCTTTCAGAACAGAATCTTCCTGTGTCTTTTCTGGAACAGTTCCTGCTAGTACACTTTAGGGTCCTCATACCCCGCCCTTAGGAGGAGACTGAGATTAACTTTATCTCGTTTTCCTTGCTTTGTGTCTTCCCAGCATCAGATACTCTTTAGATCATCCCCTTGAGCAATTTTGTCTTTTCCTCATCAGTATTTGTGTAGTATTGCTTAGAGTATAAGACAAAAAGCGTACTGACCTGAACATCAAGCACTAAGGCTTTGGCAGAATGGAGCTTTTTGATGTCAGAGTTTCAGACTCCAGTGTGTTGTCATCCTAAATAGATTATATCCTCAAATGACAAATTTAAATTGTCGCTTAAAATGTAAATTCTAAGATTTATTTCTTCAGTGCCCAACTATGAAAGGGTACTCAGTGTATTTGGTGAAAAAAATGAAAATTTTCTTCTGGAACTTAGATGGAACCAATGCTCAGTATATTTAGTGAAGGAAGGAGATTCGTTTTCTAGAATTTAGATTAGACTTTCGTCTGTCCGAATTAGTGTCTTGCCCGATGACGTATACTCCATTCTGTCGGCACGTTGAGCACTCACCGTGTGTTGTGTACTGTGCCGGTGGTGCCAGATGCAAGAGTCGTGCATAGGCTGCTACCCAAGTAAGGGCACAGAGCGTTTGTGCAAGTGGGTCGCAGTACTTACTGAGCCACACGTGCCCTCGGGGTTCAGAGAAGAGAGGAGCTGGTGTGTGGCAGGGGAGGATCCTTCCACGCCAGATGAAGTTAGATGTAGCTGTTGGAAGAAACCGCAAGGACTGGGGCAAGAGCCTTGTAGGGAGAGAAGCAGAGCCAGAGGGCAGCAGTCTGGAAGGGGTGGCCCCAGCCTAGGGACCGACTCCAGGACTTCCTGCCGCATCACTGTCCTTCCCCCAGGACAGGAAAGACCCCATGGCACGGTTAGTGCTCTGCCCTACAGTTGTTCAGAGCAGGAAGAGAAAAGCAGCCTACGTAAGACTGTGGCGTTGACACCACTGGCATAGTACACAATACATGGTGTATGTGTGTGAGAGAGAGACAGACAGACAGACAGACAGACAAAGCCCAGTATATTGGACATCTAATCTCTGACTCAGGCTTCTTAGAAAGAAAAAGAAAAGAAAAACAAGGGGGTCGAGAAACACTCGCCAGTTTCTGTCAACATTTAATCACATTTAATCAGGTAGTCAGAGGTTGGGGTACATACATGCAGTATGCTCCATCAAGGATAGGTGAGTTACCTGCCAAAAAGTGGGGCTAGAGGTGAGTAGTTGGGGGTCCGAGGCCAGAGAACTTAATCTATAGTATGTCTTCTGTGAGGTCAGGGTGCACAATGAGATTCATAAAATTACTTGAGTCATTTCAAACCCTTACATGTCAGTTGCTTTTATCTTTGTAGTTGACTCATTCTGATTGAGGTAAGTGACGTCCAGCTGAAGAAACTGGTTTCCAGACCATATTTTTGGTACATCATCAACACATGGCTCATTCTCTGAGAGCAGTATGAAATATTTGGAGTCATGATTGTAATAGAATATGAGGATTATGTTATAGATGTGAATATAAAATAATTTTAAACTTAAAAGGCATAACTCAGCTGTGTTATTCTTTATAAAGAAATGTAACTTATAGATTGAATTTCAGAGAAAGCTTCCATTTGCCTTAAAAATCTTTAATAGATTGGTGTAACAGGGCTCAGTGCAGGTGATTTTAGTTTGTGCACATGTGAAAATACAATATCACGAGCAGATTTGATTCTGTCTTAGGAGCATACATTGATAGGGTCAGCGAACTCCCAAGACATCCAGCTGTGTGGAATGGGAATTCTTCCTGAACATTGCATTATAGACATCACCTCGGACGGCCAGGTTGTGCTGACTCCTCAAAAGAACACCAGGTAATGTACTGGAGTTGTCTTCACATCAGAATAATTTGTAAGAAGGAGAAAATACTCTGGTGGTAGGTGGCCTCACTTAAGACATCCAGGTCCATGCCAGGCCCTTCTGTTTAACTTCAGTAACTCCTCTCTGTGTCACCTTCCCGTGGCCTCGTTTAGGCCTCCCCCGGTCTGATCAGAGCCCCTGGCAACACTCTGAGCTGCTGCTTGGTTCACTCACGCACAGCTGGCGGGCTTCCTTCTGTGTCTGTCAGAGTCCCTCACACCTGCCTGGTAGCCCCTGCTTCTCGGCACCCGCCTTCCTTTGGCCTGCCCACTCAGTTTGCCCTTCAGGCTTCCTTACCGTTGTTAATGTCCTTGGGGGGTTCCCTGTTTCCTGCTACTTCCTGATGGCATCCGAAGCCATCTGGCCGAAACACAGGTCTCACACCGTCTCACTGGGACACCTGACAGCTCCTCAGTGCGAGGAGTAAACCCAGTTTGTTCACCATGCTAAGTTCCTGGTAATCTTTGGTTGCAGGACATTAGCATGAGGTTTTCAAAACTTTTAATTTTTATTTGAAAGGTTGAATGTTATCTTTGGCAACAAATGCTGCTGGTTGTTTTCCTTAAAGTGACAGACTCACTGTCACCTCTTATACTTAGTGCTGTAAACATTTTAGGGAACTCAGTGAAGAAGTAAATACTATGAATATTAAAATTCACCAAGGGCACGTTTGACGTTGGGGAATTATAATCATTTTGTTTCCCCTGGGAACTAGACTGTTGTAGTACTGGAAAATTAAGGCAGAAGACGGGAAGATCATCATTCACGGCTTTCCTCTTCTGTCCACAGAACATTTGTGAATGGGTCCTCTGTGTCCAGCCCCACACAGCTGCACCACGGGGACAGGATCTTATGGGGAAATAACCATTTCTTCAGGTATGACGCTGTACGGTCCTCAGAGGGGAAATGTTTTTGAAGATTGTGCTCTGAAATAGAAGGATACATTTTAAAAAGTAAACTTCATAAAAATTATGAATTTTGTGTGTATATATGTTTGTTATTTGCATGTTTTTATATATTTGTTTACTACGTAAGTGTACTGAACCCTAGGAATATAGGGATGGTACACTCAGGAGAAATTCTTACTGTATTTTATTTTATTTTGGTCTTTTTGAGACAGGGTCTTGCTATGCAGTTCAGGCTGGCCTTGAGCTCGCTTTGCAGCCTAGGCTGGTCTTGAACTTGCAGTGATCCTCTAGCCTCAGCCTCCTGAGTGCTGGGATTACAGGCATGTGCCATCAAGCCCAGCTTAATTTCTCCTTTTTATTTCCCACTGGAAGATGGGTATTTTGCCATCTAATATAATGCTATATTAATTTTTTCTGGCATGCTTATTTTTTATTTGTATGTATGTATACATATTTATGGATATGGATATATATATATACACATACATATATATGCATGCATTTTTGCTTAAAAATAATGGTGGTCATCATTTTCTTAAGCATGAAATCAGGTTAGTCTTTCCTTTAGGAATGCTTTCAGCTGCAAGTAACAGCATCCTTGACAGTGATGGCATAAACAGATCAGTGCTTTCTCTGACAGAACAAGGAATCTGAAGGGAGATGGTTGTTAGTGTTGAGTGGCCCTCTCAGAAATGTCCTGGCTGTCACCTGGTATTGTCATGGTGCTCCCTGTGTTCTCACAGTGGCTGTGTCCTTCCTGCCATGAGCATGGTGTTCAACTCCAGGAAGCAGAGGAGCTGCAGGAGCAATGCAGCATGGCTGGCCTCTTCTCAGAGCTCAGCAGTCATCACTCACATCACATCTGCCTCCTAGCTGCCCAGGAGGCTGGGAAGGGCAGGGTTTTACCCAGGGCTGCACAGGAACTGTTCCCCAGACAGACTGGTGTCATTGGGAGGGACAGTCAGGCAGGAGACTGTGTAGCATTAATGTCCCAGCATCTTCTTTCCATCACTAGCCAGTGTGCCTCAGCTGTCACACTGACTTTTCTTGTCAATAATAGAGACCCTTGCTTGTGGGCCAGCTGATACTGTATTTTGCTTCTGAGAAAAGGGTAGATGGGTACAAAGATGGTGGACAGTTGTTCTCCTTCCCAAAGTAAATCAAGTATACATTGCTGGGCTTAGTCTTCAAAACCTTCGTGGTTTGGGTTAAGTTGACTTTCAACTCCGTCACTCAACTCATGCTGTACAGATTCTGTGTATTGTGCCGTTTGACTCTGAAGTGCTCCAGAGAAGGAGCATTTCTGTTTTCACATCTCTTCCCACACTATTCCCTTTGCCTTGCGTTCAGCCTATCCGGTGAGGCTCAGCATGGGTGGTTTCCTACTTTACCCTTCCTTTACCATCACCCTGAAGGAGCCTCAGCTTTTCTTCCCACCCAGCTCCTAACAGTCAGGTGGGCTGTGTCACATTTTCCATTGTAATTATTTGTGTATGTCTGAGCGTTTCACTTCGAGTACTGGAGTATAAATACCCTGAAAACAGCAGCTACCCTGTACTTCATAGTATTCCTTTGGCATCTAGCAAATGTCAGTGTTTAAGAAATGGAATGAAAGTACTGATCTTGATTTAAAAAAAAAATCATTTTGTGCACTCTAAGACTAAATTTGCCCAAAAAGAGGAAGAAAGCAGAACGAGATGATGAGGAGCAGGATCCCTCCCTGAAGAACGACAGCAGTTCTGAGCAGCTGGATGTGGATGGCGACTCCTCCAGCGAGGTGTCCAGTGAGATTAACTTCAATTTTGAGTATGCGCAGATGGAGGTGACCATGAAGGCTTTGGGCAGTAACGGTGAGCAAGTCTACCGTGCGTGGTGGCATCTTCTCAAGGTGATAGAATGGAAGATGTTTACAATGAGACCTTTTTAAGTGTTGGTGTAAAAAGAGTCTTTATATTGCTGATCTTGGGATTCTTTTTTTCTGTAATGAACTCTATTCTTTTGTGTGTCTAGTTATGATGATTGTATTTATAAAAACATTCTTTTTCGTCTTCATGTACAATCAGATAACTGCAGAGTTTGTTTTCATTTGTAGAATTTCTCAGATTTGAAGCCCCTGGCTTACTGTTACTATAACAGGATTTCTGGAGTGTTCATCTTTTGGGTGGTGGTAGGACACAGAAGAACTGGTTTTTCTTTATGAAAAATAGTATAGAATCTATCTAGCTGACAATATGTGGCAGTATAAGTAATTGGTAGTGGGGAAAGCTATTACAGATTGTCTTCCGTGGTATTTGGTGGTGTTAACTGAAACGACAGACAATAGAACAGTGTAGAATAGTATGTGAAGTGCTTTGTACCTTTTGTTCATTATCTTTTCTACAAAACCATGTTCAGATCCAATGCAGTCGATACTCAACAGCCTGGAACAGCAGCATGAAGAAGAGAAGCGATCTGCACTTGAGCGCCAGAGGCTCATGTACGAGCATGAGCTGGAGCAGCTCCGACGAAGGCTGTCTCCTGAGAAGCAGAACTGTCGCAGTGTGGACAGGTTCTCTCTGCACTCGCCCAGTGCCCAGCAGCGCCTGCGACAGTGGGCAGAGGAGAGGTAGGGGGAGCTGGTGTCACCACAGCAACCACCCTGGGAGGAGGGGACACTTTGTCATTACTTGTGAAAGTTTTACAGTGCGAAGAACCATTTTGCATTGTTATTTACCGTTTTTGAATGGAGAATTGCCAGTTTATATCCCTTTCTTTAAAACTGCCCATGTTAGGTGCTGCTCCATTTTCAGTTTATACAGATTTTGGATTTGAATAAAGAAGTATATTTTATCATTATATTATGCTTTAGGTTCTGAAGCTTGGGTAGATGCTTTTTAAAAAAGGAAAACAAGTTGATTGTCTGGACTGCTTAGCTCAGGTAGGTAAAGCATGATGCGAGGTGAGGTGCAGGTTGCAAGTTTGACCTCTGTGTGGGCTAATTAGCAGTGCACTGTAATCCTTATTCCCTAGGTGCAGACTGTCCGTCGCTAACCTCTTGCTATTCAGAGTCCGGTCTGCAGATAGCTAGCGTCCCTGTTGGTTGGAGATTGCTAGAAATGTAGTTCCTAGTTCCCACTCCAGACTTAGAGAGTCAGGGTCTTGAGTTTATCCAGACCGCGGGGTGATGCACAGACACAGTTAGGTCTGTGAAGTGCTGCCCTCGTCTCCAGCCAGCTTGCCACCCAGGTGTGCCCGTGCTTGGAGCCCGGATACAAGCGTATGCGTGGTCGGTGCCAGTAATATGTTTCCTGCCTGCGGAAGACACTAGTACGGCTTGGTTTGCAGCTTGGCGGTGCCATGTCATGACTGTGTAGTTTTCTAAGTGCTGCTTGGTGTGTTCCCTCCTCCTCACCTCCATCCTTCCTTTTCTTTCTTCCTTCCTTTTTTTTTTTAAAGAGAAGCAACATTGAATAACAGCCTGATGAGGTTGAGGGAACAAATTGTTAAGGCCAATCTGTTGGTGAGAGAAGCTAATTACATCGCAGAGGAACTGGATAAAAGAACTGAATATAAAGTGACCCTCCAGATTCCAGCCTCCAGCCTGGATGCCAACAGAAAGGTGAGACAGCCGTTCAGTGGCACCACAGAGATGCCCAGGGATGAGGTGGCTGCAGGTATCACGGTGTGATAGGGACGTAGGAACACACTCTGCCTCGCCTGGCCCTGCCAGTTCACTCCGCTGTCTGCACTGTTTTTCAGAGGTCTGTCCTGATCAGTCTTCCCAGGGTGGTTCTCCCCTTCATTTTGTTACCACTCCACAACTCCTTTCCCACCAGTCAGACATTCATTTACTTACACTGTGTTATTTCCAACCTTTGGGGCCAGGGAGATAGCTCAACAGCACAGTGCCTGCCTGGCAAGCACGAGTCCTGAGTTCAATGCCCGGAACCTGCCCTCCCCCCAAAAAATTCAGTATTTTCAACTTGCTGATAGAAAGTTTAGTAAAATTTTGTGAGCAATCCCTGCTGCAGTATTCTATCCTTGACATTCAGTCATGTTCATCCTTCACCTAGGATGTAGTTGTTGGAAGCTTAAGTAGAATTTCCTGTTTGGGTGAGTCTGGGGCAGTCCGTGTGTTCTATTTCTCCCACGGTGTTTACCAGAGCTTTGATCAGCCCATCTCAGATGTTCTGTTTTGATAGTGAGGATCACATCTTCTTTTGCTTATGACATCACAACGTGAAGGTCACTATTTTGCAGAGTGGATATTTGGCAAGTATGGTACTGCCTTGAACGTGATGTCATCATTACTATACTGATAATTGTCTTTTGATGAATACTTTGTGTAGTGTGAAAGATTTTACTGACATAAAAGTTTATTTTATTTATTAGTACTTGAAGGGCAAAGTCTAGGTACAATGGGGTGCACACACCAGAAATGAGAGGCAAGTCCTGCGCACACAGGGTAGGGCTCAGCTTCTTCTAGAAGGCAGAGAAGTACAAGATGTTTCATCCTGGAATGTTTGACTTGAAAAGGCAGAGCTTTGAGCATTTTTCCTGTTACGCCTGACTGTAGCCCTTTTTGCTGTATCTCGTTGTGAGCTTTATTTAGAAGGAGCGCCTAGAAGTGGCCCATCACCTTGGGTTCTCCGTCCTCCTGCCTACCGCTCATGCATTCCTCAGGGCCGCTTCTGTTACTGGGGAGATGTGGAGCACTGCTGGCGTGGACAGCTACTCGTTCACGCTACTTTCCCTGCTTTATACAGATAGGCATTTCTAGACCCCAGCCGTGGTCCCCTGACCAGCATTCTCCCCTGGGAAGGCCAGTACCCAGTGATCACTAATGGGACTTTTGTACCTGTTCACTGGCTGACTGGAGGGAAGGTAGAGGACCTTCGTAGTGTAGGTGAAAGCATTGCAGTTGTTGCCAAGAATTACTAAAGCTTTGTTTTACTACATAAATTTTGTTTCTTTGGAAATGATTATAGGCAAGATGCTAATAAAATATCAGTGTATTCCACAGTTTATTTGTTTTTATTTTCTTTTCTACTTTATAATTTTAAAAAGTCCTATGAAATTTTTACATTGAAAATACTTTACTTTTGCTGGTATGGTGGTACATGCTACTCAGGAGGGAGGGGCAGGAGGATTATGAGTTCAAGGGTAGTCTATACAGCTTAGCAAGCCTCTGTCTTAAATTAAAAAGTGCTGGGAGATAGTTTAATGTGAATGCCCTGGACTCAATCCCAAGTACTACAAAAACAAAGAAACAAACAAAACCCTGTGCTTTTATAAGCTAAAAATACTTCAGTGCATACTGCTCTTTGAGGTAAGATCCCCATGATGTCTCTGCATTCAGTACATTCACAGTGTTATGCACCCAGCAGCTGTGTCCAGTTCTCCGTTTTAATAACAAATGCAAACCACGTACACTTGGGAACAGGTATCACGTGTTGCTCACAAATGAGTCAGTGAGACATTTTCATAGTTTGCTTTTTTAAGCATTTCCTAGTTATTCTTTTAAGTTTACTCTTTTAAGCATCAAACTACTATCTATTCAAATAAAAAGTAAAAACTCAGCCTTTTGAAAGTAAAAGATAGTTTCCAGACTGAGTTTCTGGCATCTCAGTAAATTTCGCTTGCCTTTCAGTATGCATGACTCTTTAGCTGCTGAAGTTCTGTGGTTAAACTATGATGGCTTGAATAAAACATTTTCATTTCAACTTCCTGTAAGATATAGTATCTAGTATTTGAGGCTTTAAATTTAAGTTTATATCTAACTGCAGTCAAAATATAGAAGTAAATTGATACTTAGCCTTAAGTTAATACTGACGTCTTAAACTGTGATTCCAGTTGGATGTAAAGGCATGCTACAGCTCACTGGATCTCTTTGTCAACCTTAGCCTGGTGTGGTGAGCCTTGACTGGTGGGTCCAGACACTCAATGCTGTGTCCCACACAGTTCTCTCCCCGTGTCTTGCAGCGGGGCTCTTTGCTCAGTGAGCCTGCAATCCAGGTGAGAAGAAAAGGCAAAGGGAAGCAGATCTGGTCTCTGGAGAAATTGGACAACAGGCTGCTGGACATGCGAGACCTTTACCAGGAGTGGAAGGAGTGTGAGGAAGACACCCCGGTGAGATGCGGGCGACCCCCACTGTATCCTGGGCAGTCAAAGGGAGCTCACCTGCCCCTCTCAGGGGAAACCGTTCCTTTTCCCAAAGTTGGTGGACTATCCTATAGTACAACTTTTTAAATCCTCTAAACAGTTTAAGAATTTTAATAACCTACACTTCTGGTGTCTTTTTGTCCCAGTTTCTAGCAGATCCTCCCCTTTCTATTAGGCCTGCAGGTGTCTGTGTCCTGTGCTGCTCTGGAGGTCTCTTTAGGACAGAGCTCGGACTTAGCATCCCTCTTCCCACCCTCAACACTGAGCCTTGCAGATAATAAACCTATAGTTCCCGCTGTTCAAATTGAATCTCGCTGGTACCTTAATATTTGCACTATTAGGAACATTTATTTAAAAGAAGTTTTAACCCTAGAGTAGGTGCCATAGATCTTTTTGCTAATACTTGCTCCTTAATTTGAAGATTATTTTATTTAAGTCAGACATGTGTACTTGTACATATTTAAAATAGAAAGATGGGGGCTGGGGACTTAGCGGCACAGCGCCTGCCTGGCAAGCGCAAGGTCGTGAGTTCGATTCCCAGTACCGGAAAAAAAAAAAAGAAAGATGTATCATGTATTTTCAGTACTGCAGGTCCTGCTTCCACATAGTTATTTACATAGCTTTTTATTTTGTAAAAGTATTTATTTTTCTAAATTGCCATCAGTGAAATTGTCATCAATTTATAGTTAGATCTACTTTTGCTTAAAATTTTAAAATGCTCTTTGATATTTTGCTCCAATTTCAACTTAGAATTAAAACAACAAGAACAAATACAAATGCTAGCTGCTCTCCTAAGGGGCTAGTCCTCATTTGTAGCGGTGTACCCAAAGATTTGGTAGGAGCAGTAAGGCTGGTGTGGTGATCTCTTTCCTAAAAGAGAAGAGAACCTCTGTACCCTGACCACTTTCAGGCAGTATATGTTGTTTCTCCATTTTTGTGGCAAGAGTTCCACATGCAGTGGAAGTGATAAAGTATGGGGATTGTTATTGGGATTTCTTTCTTGTAGCTGAAGGACACTGACCACCATTCAAAACATTGTGTGTGTGTGTGTGTGTGTGTGTGTGTGTGTGTGTGTGTGTGTGAATAGTACAATACAGTGCTGTGTTTGAGGAAGAACTTTATTTTAAGCCTGGGGTGGTGGTGCACACCTGTAATCCCAGCACTCAGGAGGCTGAAGCAGGAGAATCGCCATGAATTCAAGGCCAGCCTGAGCTACATAGTGAGTTCAAGGCCAGCCAGCACTACAAAGTGAGACTCTGCCTTAAAAAACAAAACAAAATAAAATGAACTTTAATACTCTAAGAAATGCAGGACTCACAGTGATGAAAGTTAAGTTTAATGACTTCATTAGAGTATATCCAAAAGCAGTAGGTTGAATGCATTTATTTTCTGTGGTTTTTGAAGTTGTATGCCCTGTCTTTCAGCTAACCCGATCTTATTTCAAGCGTGCCGACCCGTTCTATGATGAGGAAGAAAATCACAGTCTTATTGGGGTGGCCAATGTCTTCCTCGAGTCCCTTTTCTATGACGCGAAGTTACAGTATGCTGTCCCGATCGTCAACCAGAAGGGAGAGGTTGGCGTTCTCTTTGTGCCTCACTTCCTGTGGGGAGTGGTTCTGGGAATAGGAGGGTGGCAGTGGGATGCTGTTGTTACTATTTTTCTTATTAGCAATGACAAATGGTATGTTTTTGTGTTAAGGGTGTCTTGTTTCCATAGGGCTTTATGGTGTTTATTGCTGGTACTCTGAGGGCAAGCAGCTGTTAGAAACTAATAACTGAAGAGCCAGGTGTGGTGGCGCACACCTGTAGTCCCAGCACTTGGGAGGCTGAGGCAGGAGGGTTACCATGAGTTTGAAGCCATCATGGACTCCATAGTGAGTTCAAGGCCAGCTTACACTATTTAGGGAGACCCTGTCTCAGAAAACCAAAAAATAAAGCTAATACCTAATAGCTTGGCCCTAACACAAAAGCGAAATTCTCTCAGGGTGAAAACCATAACCAGAAACAAGTGTCTTCTCTGCCCCATTGCTCCAGGTGGCAGGCCGGCTGCATGTGGAGGTGATGCGAATCAGCGGTGCTGTCGGGGAAAGGATTGCAGGAGGTGATGACCCTGCAGAGGTCCTCTGTGAGAAGGAGACCCAGGAGAACAGACTGGTCTGCATGGTGAGTCCCAGGTTCCTTAAGAAAGTAGCCCAAGTGAGGCTGTTCTTAAAAGGTGTGGTTGTCTAGATCAGAATTCTTAAGTTCTTTTTCAGATTTTGAAAATATCTGTCTCCAAATAAGTCTTGGAGTGCTTAGTATCCTGAGGACTATATTTTGTCACGTGTCCAGGGCACTGGTTGAGTACTTCCAGTAGCTTCCTGTGAGGCTTGGGACGAGTCAGTCTTTTCTCTGGGCCGTTCAGCTCCCCACGCATTGGAGCTCATCTGCATTGCTCGGTGAGGAGCCCAGACTTCCTGCACCAGTTTTCCCTCTTGCTGGAGGTTCTGAGTCCTGCCAGAGAGGGAGATGTAGCCCAGCCCGGTCCTACCCCAAGCTCTGCTGTAGTCATTCTTCAGTTTCCCTGTGTTTTCTCTGCTCTTCTTCACCCAGCTGCCTTTGCTTGTGCTGTTAGTGCGGACCAGCCCCTCACCCCTTTCCCCTCGCCCCTCACCCCTAGCTGTGGGCTCACCCACAAGTGCCCGTCATGCCTGTGTTAAGAATCACCGGCTGGATGGCATTCCAGTGCTGGGGGTGCAAGATGGGTATAGCCAGGCTCCTGCTGTCCACTCTGCACAGCTGGCACAAAGCTTTAGGGGACACAGGGTGAACGAAAGACTGCAGTGTTGTGTGACCCAGCTGCTCTGGTAGAGAAGGTGCCGTTGGTCCTGGATCATAGAGGAGAGGCTGCTAATCCAGGCAGCAGGCTGGGAGGAAGATTTCTGGGAGCCTGAGGGAGAGGGGTTGGGTCTCTCCCACCTGTCTCCGGGTGCTGAGTCTTTCAAGGGTAATTGTGGGCTCGATGGGCTCCTGCCCTCTCTGGCCTAGTTACCACAGCAGTGGGGGTAAGGACCTGTGGCTGGCCAGCACTGCCATTGGTTCAGAAGCTTGGCAGGAAGCAGTTAAAAAGCTTTTGATGACAAGAAATGAGCAAGGGGCCAGCCTGTGCTGTTGAAAGGAGGCCAGTGAAATGCAAGTGAAGAGTCCTTAACCCGTCCTAGGTCCAGTCCTGGCTGAGCTCAGTGCATGTGTCTGGAGCCAAAGCTGAGGGGTTGGAGGGAGTCAGCTACATTAGCTGAAGAGGAGGGGAGCTACTACCTGTAGAGGCGGGCTCCTTCCCGTGGGTCTCTGTCTGCCACGTGACTTCAGTAAGTTCAGGATGAGGGGAGAAGTCTAACTCACTGAGAGGTTCATCCTTACTGCATTGTACTAGAGTTTAGAACCTCTCCCTTGAGGTGTTAATAATATGTGATTGTTGGAGAGGGACACATGGGCTTGATGAATCCGTGTGGCCCATTGCAGATGATGGGCTAGTAAATGTGACTTTGAAAGATCACCTTTTGCCATCAGATAATTAGTCAGTCAGTCAGTCTTTCTCTCTTCCTGTCACCGTCTCTCCTCCTCTCCCTCTCTCCTTCCCTCTTCCTCAGTCTTTTTCCCTCTTCCCTTCCCTCCCTGTGATAGAAACTCGGTTTAGATTGTTGCCTGTTATTTCTCAGTCTTAGGAAATTTATCTGTTGTCACTGAAAGAAAGTAGTAGTATAATGTGAAAAACAACCTCCCTTGTAGATATTCTGGTTCATTCTACACGTTTCCTGTGCTAGACCTGGAATCAGTCATTTCTCCAAGGAGCCTGATTGCTTTCAAGGGGAAGCACTTTTTAGACACTGTGCTCTCCCATGTAAAAAAGGCAAGGGCAAAGCCTTTTGTATAAAAAAAGACAAGGGCAAACAAACTGCGACAGTAAACCGAGTATTGGTGGGAAAATGAGAGACATCAACTGGGAATTAAGATATCACTGACCAGTAAAAGAAGTCTGGATTTATTTTTTCTTATAAAAATATGCACATAGTAATATTTTTGCTGACATTAAGTAAAATCAGTGTATTTCCAAGTCCCAAATGACACTGATGCCTGCTGCCATCTCTTGGCTCCTGTCTTAAACAGCTCCAAGTTGCAGGCTGTGGTATTCTGACACCTTGTGGTGGTTTTTATTTTTGTACACAGAAACTTAAAGAAAAGCCTAAACAACCCATACTCTGAAAATCTAAATATTCCTCCTTCCTGGTATTCTTCTTTCTTAGTTATTTCAACCTTAAAATTGAGATTAATTTCTGTAGGAAAAAATGGCTTCCAGATCTTCCAGGTCTTGCTGTCACTTATTTTCTTTCTTTTCATTGGTGTGATCAGTCTCACCCAGTGTAGTAGGTAGCTATTAATATTCCCATTTCTCCTAGGAGAAAGCTAAGTCCAAGAAAACTAAGAATTTATTTGTACCAGAATACAAGCTAATAAGCACCAGATATTTTTGTTTAATCTGTGTTACTCTAAAATCTTGTAATCTTCCTACGTACCTCATTGTCTTACCTTAAAGGTTATAGTAAACATTTTAAAGTGAAAAATGATGGCTTTTTAAAAAATCATGTAATGTTAATTGCAGAATATTGACTGTTCACTTTGATTTGGAGGAATAAAATGTGTCAGCTAATCTCTCTCATAGCCTGTCAAGGAATCACTCTCTCTTATTTCAGACTTGCTGGCATCACAGGGAAAAATGGGGTTCCTATGTGTAGGTGACCCGTTCTATACCTGGTGTGGAGGAAATCTGCGTGGTGTGATTTGCTGTGTCCTCATTAATACTTCCTGAAATGTTAAGGCTACATTTGTGGTGGCTGAGTGTGAACTTATGCCATATATTCAACTTTTTTTTTCATTAAATTTATTTACTAGATGTGGAGTGGATCGTACAACAAACAGAAAGTGACCAGATAGAGAATGTATTGTATGTATGACTAATGCAAGATCAGAAAAATCAGCTTAGTCAATTATCAGATCAGAATTTAGTTTTGCTTAGTTAATATTGGGGTTTAGCTTCCTTCACAGTTGGAGAAGTTTTAGACTATTATAACTTACCACAAAAACTACAAATTGAAAATTATCTCAAAGCTGAGTATGGTGGCACATGCCTATGCTCTCATTTTCTTGGGAAGTTGAGGCAGGAGGATCACAAGTTTGGGCCCAGTATGGGTAACTTAGTGAGAACCTGTATCAGAACAAAAACAAACAAACAGACATGAAAAAGAAGGCTTGGAGATACAGTGCAGTGAAGCCCTGGGTTCAATCCCCAGTACAACAAATAACAACAAAAGATACACAAAATACAACCAGCTCGATGCTGCCACTGAAAGAAATCTTAATGGTTGGTGTGAAATCTGTTACAGATATTTTTCTGGGGGCATTTGGGTCTGATGCAGTGCATGTTTCTCACTGCACTTTGTTATTGCGGAGCTCTCCAGTCCTGCAGCCCAGAACCTACTTCCTTTGATGGCTTTATCACCCAGGCTACAGAGGGAAGGCGTTGAGTAAATGTTGGTGCAGAGTGGTAAACTTTGCCACCTTCACTTCTGTCCTAGTTACTTCATTGTTGCTGGGACAAAATACCTGATGCCTGGAACCTAACAGGAGAGATTTACCTGGGCTCACAGTTCAGTGCTGGCATGGTCAGTGGCATCGTGGAAGGAGTAAACCACAACAGCTTCCCTCCGTGCTGCCCTCCAGGCCTTCTGTTTGCACATGCTCAGTGCCTTCAGAGTTCTGCAGAAAACACTGTAGCGTGCAACAGTTTCTGCTTGGGAACCGGGTTCCTCTTTATGCTTTAGGGGTGGGGTGGGGTAGTTGTGCTGTTTTGTTCTGTTTTTTTGAGAAAGGATATCACTGTGTAGCCCACACTGGCCTGGAAGTTGCAGTGCTCAGCCTGCTATGTGTTCGCACTTACAGGTGTGCACCACCACTCCCAGCTCCCCTTTCTACTTTAAAATGCCAGGTATTTTCCTTCCCTGAATATCTGTTGCTTTTTGGCACATGCATTGCTTTAGTTCTTATTATACTTAACAATTTTGTTCTGAAGACTTAGCCATGGTAGCCAGATTGTATCATTGAATGCTGTTGATGTTCGAGAAAGTTGTTCTTCTGAAGTGATGATGATACTCATTATGTTTTATTTATTTTTTAAATTAAAAATTTTTTTTTGTACCGGGAATCAAACTCAGGACCTTGTGCTTGCCAGGCAGGTGCTGTGCTGCTGAGCTGCATCCTTGGCTTTATTATGTGTTAAGAGCTTAGAACTTAAATGCACTTTCTCATCCTCTAAGTGCTTTACAACATCCCTTTCATTATCAAGTCATTGTCCCCTGTATCAGGCCTCTCACTGAAGAGCAGAGTCCTGGTCACCATTTCAGATGCAGGAATACAGTCCTAGAGTGAACGGGATGTGGCCACCATAAACCAGCACTTAGTGCTGTAGTCAGGACAGGAAGCCCTGCCTCTGATGCAAAGGGCTCCTTGGAACTTTCTAATTAAAACACAGAGCCTTCTTTTCCTTTCAGGTTAAGATACTCCAAGCCACGGGGCTGCCCCAGCATCTGTCCCACTTCGTGTTCTGCAAATACAGCTTCTGGGATCAGCAGGAGCCGGTGATGGTGGCACCAGAAGTGGACACCTCTTCCTCCTCACCCATCAGCAAGGAACCGCACTGCATGGTTGTCTTCGATCACTGCAGTGTGAGTTTGTTTTCTAGTCTAGGTCAAGGTTTAAATTGCTCATGTGTAAAGGAAACCAAAAATAACACGTATTTCTTTGAATAATTGTGCCAGTATGTGCCTGGAGCAGAGTTTCTTAGGGTGGAGATAGAGTCAAAAACTAAAGTGTCAGTGCAATAATTCATCCATAATCAAAGGTAACTTTTGTGTTAAAAGTAAGGGAAAAGATAAGTCACTTTGTTGGCTGGTGTGGTGGCACACGCCTGTAAACCCAGCACTTGGGAGGTTGAGGAGGGAGGATTGCTGTGAGTTCAAGGCCAGCCTGGGCTACAAAGTGAGTTCAAGACCAGCCTGAGCTACATGGCAAGACCCTGTCTCAACACGTCCTCCCCCCGCCCCCCCAAAAAAAATCCCAAAAAAACCCCGCTTTATCCAGTATTTTGTTACTGTTTCCTTTGGCCCTTACCCATTACATTTAATGATGGTGCTCTTATCAGCTGAAGAAACCATTCACAAAGATCAGTTTGCTTAAAGTAGTTAGTCACTTTACCTGTGCTTAGTAACCAGAGCAGAGCCTGGGCTGGCAGGTTCCAAAGTCTTTTTTGCTGTTTTACCATTGAGTAAGATTTCGTTCTCATTTGTTTGAAACCGAGAAATATTTCTAGCGCATTATAGATGGACAGAGAGAGTGGGTGAGGATACTATTAGAGGTGGGAAATTCCATGACTTCATTAATAAAATAACCCTAATTGCAAAATGCTGTCATATAGAGATGGACAGGTGGGAGAAATGTTTTTAATTAGCTAATCTTTTGCACTGGTCTATCTGCTTTGTCTTCTGTTATGACAGTTCACGTCTTAAAAACTAATCATTTTTACAACATACTACCACCACCTTATTACATGTACAGTAATAACTTTTATGTTGACATGTTATTATAATAATGCTTAATGAACTTATACTTTTAAAAATAGTTCCCAAGGGCTGGGGATATAGCTCAGCAACACAGCCACCTGCCTGGCAAGCACAAGGTCCTGAGTTTGATTTCCTGTACCAAAAAAACCCCCCAAACTCCCAAAATGTTGCCAACGAAATAGACTATATTGCTGGCCTTACATACTGCACTTTCAAAGTGAAAAGTTTAAAGTTGATAGAGTTACAGGGGTACCTTGAGTACAAACTTAATTCTGTCGACAGTTTTGGTTTCAAACTGAATTGGACAAGAACTAAATTAAATTCAGTGGTTAGATTCAATGGTGATCTTAAGGAAAAGTTTGATTTTTTTTGGTCTAATTCGTTTTGCAGCCAGAATCATGGAAAAAATTAAGATCAGGAACCAAGGCACCACTTATCTTTAAAGGAAGAACCTTAGACCATCTGAGCATTCCTTATGGGTTTTAGGTGACAGCTTTGTACTGTAACAAAAATATTCTGTTTTCTATTTCTCTTCTCCATGATAGAATTAAACACATGATGTCTGGTGTAAGTAATCATACTATTACCAGAAAGTGTTTGCTATTTTGTAATTACCTGTTGTGTTTTCAGGAGTTTTCTGTTAACATCACTGAAGACTTTATTGAGCACCTTTCAGAAGGGGCTTTGGCAATTGAAGTATATGGACATAAGATGAATGATCCTCGGAGAAACCCAGCCCTATGGGATTTGGGAATCATCCAAGCAAAAACACGGAGTCTTCGGGACAGGTGACTTTTAGATACTTGTTGGATTATATTTATAATTAAAAAATATATATATACAGATTCCTACTGCCATTTTTAAGTAAAGGTTACCGTTTCCTGAGCAATACCAGGTCTCAGGAATGGATGGTGTCTCCAGGGTATTAATCTCATAGCTAAACTTCCCTAGTAGAGTAAACTTCGAAAGTGTTGAAAGTGAAGTATGTAGCTATGTAATAAGAAACAGAAACAGACTGGGCATTGGGGTGCATGCCTGTAATTCTAGTGCTCTGGGAAGCTGAGGCAGGATGATCATAAATTTGAGCCAAGCTCACACAGTTTAGCAAGACACTGTCTCAAAAATAAAAATAAAAATAAGAATGAAAATAAAGGAGAGTAGAGATGTAGCTCAGTGCGAAGGCCCTGGGTATAATCCCCAGTATGGCCAAAAAAAAAAAAAAAAAAAAAAAGAGTGGGGAGAAAGGTGGACAGAGACCTTTGGTAGCATTTATATTCACCTGCCTGTGGCTTACAGTGCCTTGTGAGTGGTGTCAGTGGTGGAAGGAGGTGGGCTGGTTTGGTGACTTAACATGGAGCGAGTGAAATAGAAGATGTTTTTACTTTCATCTATTTATAGATGAGGACCAGATTTTCTTTTTCTTTTTCTGCATTTAGAAAGTTTTAGCAAATCCTAAATTAGGAGGTGAGATTTTTGTCTTGATTCTCTTAGTGGTCTGAGAAAAGATGTTTGTGAAGTTGCTGAAGTGTACGGCGCTCCCTTTCTCTCTCTACAGAAAGATAATCCCTGCACGCAATTCTGTACCTCTGATTAGAATGTTCCAATTTTTGAGTAACTAGTTTGAAATGGATTTGTCATTGTATCTTTCTGAACAAAATAAAAGAAGCCATCTCTAGTTCTGATATTAACTTAAACTTCGCTTTTCATTATATTTCTGCCAGTATGTGCATTGAATTACAGCCCATTCCCCTGAGTGACTCTGATTGGAGGTCATTTTCATTGCTAAGTTTCATATGCCAGACCCTGAGTGCCTGTACTGAAACAAAAATGTATGATTTCCTAAGCATTACAACCGTTTCCTAGGTGGAGTGAAGTTACCAGGAAGTTGGAATTCTGGGTTCAGATCTTGGAACAGAATGAGAATGGTGAATACTGCCCCGTAGAAGTGATTCCTGCAAAGGATGTCCCCACAGGAGGCATCTTCCAACTCCGGCAGGTAACAAGATTGCCAGTGTTCGTATTAAATCTTTGGCACCTTAAGGCTTACTACAGGATTTTTTTTGGCCTGTGCTTCAAATTGAACCCAGTGGTTCATGCGTACAAGCCAAGTGCTCTACTACAGTGCTCCTCCCTCACCCCTTAATATTGGGTTCTTTTCTAAACAGAAGTATTGCTGACTAGCCAAGTCCATTCTTACATTAAGTTCTAAGATTTGTCAGGAGTAGCTTTTTTTGAAGGTTGTGTATCTTTATCAGGTTGCTGGAAAAAATCATCCAAGGTCTGGACAGGTTTTTTCCTACACAGATGGCAAGGATAAAGACCTTGCGGCTGGAATAGAGCTCCTCGGAGAATGTGTAGAAGGAGCGGGGAAGCAGGAGAACACTATTACAGAAGCTTGTGGCCCTGAGTTGAGAAGCCCTTGAATGCTGGGCTCACCTGAGTCTAGTGTTTGAAAATTGGTATATTTTATTTTTGAACATGAAAGTAGCAGAGGGCAGCTGATTAGGCTTAATCATGTGGAATTGCGGTAGGCAGCAAATGGTAAAATATCAGCAGTCACAAGAAGTTCACTGCAGTAGTTGAAGTAGACTTTTTAAAGCTTTTCTATGGAACAGAAATCCATTCCCAACCCTTGCTTTCCTTCTTGTCACTCTTCATGTCCCAGATCTTACCTCCCTGTGCAAATTGCACCCTTCACACCTTCACAGTAAGTCATTTTCTGGATTAAGCGAAATAAAGGTAGCCAATTGAAATAATGTTTTAGACTATTTAAATATTTTCTGAGGGATTTTTTTTTTCCACAAACTTTCTGCTGCATAGTTCTTGGGAAATATGAAAAAGACATCTGTATCTCATCCATTGAAATGTAGCTTGATAGGATCAGTGACCACCTAAGTAGATGTTCCTGATCATGCCGGGCTCTTGGGAGGTAAAACTGCTGGAAGAGGGCAAGAGTAATTGACTTGAAATTGAATAGTCAAATTGTATTTTTCAAATGCTATTTTCTCTTCCTAAAATTTATAAATCCAGTTTGAAGCCAGTAATTTGGGATACTGGGAATTCTCATTTATAATGTTCCTTCTTTGTACATATATATACGGTTACACAGGATCTATTCTGAAAACATGCTTAAGTAGAAACAGCTTCTTTCTGGTCAGTTCATTTTGCAGTTTAGGTGAAAATAATGTTTAATCCAAAGTAGCGGCACCCTTTATTTCTAACTTGGATTGCTTCCTGTTTAAAAGTACATTACACTACACTGACTCTGGTCGTCTGCTCTTTTTTTTTCAGTCTTTTTGAGACAGGGTCTTGCTATGCAGTTTAGGCTGGCCTTGAACTCACTTTGTAGCCCAGGCTGGTTTGGAACTTGCAACGATGCTCCTGCCTCAGCCTCCTGAGTACTGGGATTATAGGGGTGTGCCAGCATGCCCGGCCATAACTAGTTTTCTTGACTACTTTTGAATTTGTATTTTAGTACTTAACGTTTATAAAATACAATGAGATGTTTCCAGTGTTAGGTGTTTTTCTCAATGTGAGCCTGTAGGGGTCTCTCTAAACCAAATTTTTAGAAATCAAGAAAGTGATTTTAAGACTCTTGGTCCAGGGGCAGTCCCGGCGAGTTCAAGTTGAAGTGAAGTCTGTGCAGGAATCCGGGACTTTACCGCTAATTGAAGAATGCATCCTGTCTGTTGGCATTGGCTGTGTGAAAGTGAGGCCAGTCAGGCCCCTCAAGATGCATGAGAACTTCCATGTAAGTCTCTGTGCGTCTTCCATGCTGTTGAAAGACAAAGCCAGACCAGAGAGTCCTTTGGGAGCTGTCAGAACACTCCCTTCCATAAACAGTTCTTCCAGCATTTCTGTATTTCCTTGGATGTCATTCGTAGCGCAGTGCCCAGCGTGGAGTCACTGTACCAGACTCACTGGCTTTGCCCTGCACGTGGCAGGCAGAGGGTTAAAGCTTCTCAACCTGCACAAATTCCCCAGTGCCTTTGAGTGATTACTTCCCAGCACCACCCAGCCCAAAGCAGAAACCCCCCACGGGCTTGTAAAGACTGTTTGCCAGCAGGTGTCTGATTTCCCCTGGTGAGTGGGACTCTAAGCCCAGCAGGGAGAGCATTGTACTGGCTGCAGAAAAGGTCAGACAGTGCTCTTCACTTTTCTCTGAGAAGCTCATGGTTTTACTCTACTTCCTGAGGACTGCAAAGCTCAAGAGTTGGGTGGGGGGAAGTGGGAGGGGACAGAATATCTTAATTAAATTAAGCATATAAACTCTGGAGGCAGGATTCAGATTGTATAGGTTGGCCTGATTATTGGATAAATAATAATTTTGGTTCTACATGATGTAATCTTTCCTTTAGGAGGAAGAGGAGGACATGGACAGCTACCAGGTAATTGAGCACCTGTTAATCTCATCAAATCAGCTTGATTAAAGTACATAATTACACATTCCAGGATCTTGCTGTACTGTTACTTAATAATTAAGCAATTTTGATTCAAATAGTGCTTTCTCTTAAAGTAAAACAGAATGGAGAACAATGAGTATTGTTTCTTAGGCCAGGAAGGAGGGTGTGTTAGGGGTAGAACATCCCCATGGTGGGTGTCCTTTCCACCCAGGCTCCCTATAGAGCCATCTCCCCTGCTGCTCATCCTTGAGTGGAGCCGCGCATCCAGACCTGGGTTCAGCTGCCTCGCCCAGAGCATGTGTCAAGCCCCCTGTGCTTTCCATATGTGAAGCCAGCTCCCCGCAAACACCCATTGTCTGGAGTTACCCAGGGTTTTTGTGAGTTTTACCTTTTCCCTTTCTTTTCCTGATCTGCCAGATTTTGTTTATGTCTGTGAAGTTTCATCTTGTTAGTCATCATTCAGGACTGTCCAAGCTCTGCGGAGCCTGATTATGTCATCCAGTGTAGTCACTCTCCTGGTTTTGCATCACTGTAATTTGATAGAAAAGTCTGCCTTCCTACAAGTCACTGATAAAGACATTGTATCAGATGGGGTTAAACGCAGAGTTGTATGGCACAAGAAGAGAGACTTCTTTCAAGCTGACATTATTCCATTAATCACTGCTCTCTGGATGTGGTATTTGAGTCCTCTGTGATTTCACCCAAGTAGATGCATTACACGTTCCTCCATCTTGTCCACAAGAATGTCATAGGCTATTTAGTTAAGTGCCCTAGTGAAATCCAGACACTCGACATCTGCAACATTCCACTGACCTACCCAGTCTCGTAACCTCATTACAAAAGGAAATGAGGTAAGATCGGCCCGCTTGCAGGTGTTGACTGGTAGAGTTGTTAGTCTGTGGATAATAACCCCTCCTCTTGCTCTCATCCCCAGCCCCCCAAAATACACAAAAAATAAGGGAGAGAAGTATTGACATGTTGTTGTCTTCAGGAGCCTCATGGGTCACATAGGAGCAGGAGTTAAGAGCTTTGAAGGGTTCTTTTGGTGGTTCTGAGGTATATAAATCAGAAGACTATTGAGTATGGCTTGTGAGCTCCACCCAGCAAAGAGAACAGGGAGAAGATCTTCATTGTGAGTGCTTGCAGTTCTATCCCTGAGTCATTGGAAATGGCTGAGTACCCAGAATACTCTTTGAAAAATGTGCCACTCTAGAAAGTAGTGCTTTAACTTCTGAGTGTTTCTGTTCTGAATTATGGTAGGGTCATCTGGCAGTGCTAGTAAGGAAATGACTGTGTAATGCTTAGGTATGAGAAGATAAGACAGAGCAGCATCAGTTTCAGATGTACCTTCTTGACCTTATACTGAATATGGTTTCCCTTATTTCTACTAGGATCGGGATTTAGAGAGACTACGTAGAAAATGGCTGAATGCGTTAACAAAACGTCAGGAATACTTGGATCAGCAACTACAGAAGCTTGTCAGCAAACCCGGTAGGAAGAGCAGGTTACACACCTTCCTCCTCCCTCCCAAGTCAGTGAACAGCTGACGCCATCTGGGGCCATTTAAGTGAAGAGCCAGATGGATGTGTCAGCAGTGGACATGGCAGCCTTTTCAGAGAAACTTTACCCTGTCAGAATAATGTTTTATGTGGCCCCCGTCTCCCAGCAAAGAGAGAATATAGTGGAGAAGGCCGGTGTTGCCCTTCAGGATACCCTGAAGAAGTGCAGACGTGACCTGTCCGAGGGTTGTGACTCTGGCCGAATGGCCTGTACAGCACTGCCTTAGCGCCAGTCCTGTCTTGCTGCTGGCCATGTCACCATCCAGGAGCCGAGATAGGGCAGATCCAGCAGGGCTCCCAGATCTCACACCCGCTCCCGATGTTCTAGATAAATCGGAGGACGATGCTGATCGGGAGGCACAGCTCCTGGAAATGCGGCTGACCCTGACCGAGGAGAGGAACGCCGGGATGGTCCCCTCCGCAGGCAGCGGCATCCCTGGCGCTCCGGCAGAATGGTAGGATGCGCAGCGCAGGGCAGAGTGTGCTCTGGGCCCCTGCTTCCCACTTGAGGTTTTGGGTGCTGCAGTCAGTGGAAGTAGTCAGGATGATATGTGAGGACAGGGTTGTTTGAACTTAAGGAACTGTTAAATTATTTTCCTGAGTTGAATAACTATGATCTAAAACTGTTTTATTAAATAACATATTTATTGGCCAAAGTAATTACACTTCTTGAGAACTGAAATCAATATTTAGTAGCACTGCATCTGGTATTAAAAAGAGCTGGTATGGTAATTAGTGGAACCGTTCATTTCTGTACAGGAATGCATGGTCACAAGAGGGGCGTATCCCCACCAGGTTTTGGTTTTGGTGCTGGCTTGAACTTGCCTGTCAGCAAATGTTCAGTGCCACTTCATAGAAATTCAGAATAGCAAGATAAACCGCACGGAGCCTAAGCCCAGAAGTGTATCATTTACCGAGAAAGGGAGTTGGGGTAGGGGTCCACTCTGAACAGTGAGTGGGTCCTCTAAGGCTAAGTTGGAGTGTCGGGCCTATGGGGCAGCAGTTACGGTTCAGTCTCAGAGCATCTTTACTGTTAAATCATTGGGACGCCGTGCCCCAGGCTGTGGCCCGACCTGTAGCAGCCCCGAGGGTACTGGGGTGTGTCTCCGTGTCTGAGCTGCAGCGGGTCTGCTGTGTTTGAGGTGTCACCTGTCTTTCCTGTTTCAGGACTCCGGTGCCTGGGATGGAAACCCACATTCCTGTTATATTCCTCGACTTAAATGGTGAGTTCAAGGGGGTTTCAAAGGCTTGCCTGATAAAGCAGTGCCTGGTAGCTCTTAGACGGTGACTAAGTGTGTCGTCAGATGCTCTTGTCACCCTGAGGTGACAGTCAGCTTTGTGAAGGCCCATACTGCACAGAGAATGGGTAGTTTGGAAGTCATCATTTACGGCTCCATGGCCTGTTCCCTATCTTGTTGCTTCAGCCCCTGGGCCATGTGTTTTCTATACTACAAATACTTTCTTCTTCTATTCTCAGGGAAAGACTTTGCTCTGGAAAGGACTAATGACTGGCAGTAACTACATAACACATTTTCGTAGCATTATTTAACACATTATCTGACTCACTTCTTCTGTGAGTTATTGTGCATTCATCCCTGCACTGCCCATTTTTGGGAAAATAACTTGTTTTCCTGAGACACACACCACGTATAGGAGGGAAGACAGAAAATGAAAAGGTAGGCTAGAGATCCAAAAGTAAGCTGAGTGTCAGCAGTGAAGTTCCTGCGACTTCTGCAGGAGGACTGTGTGTTAGGATGATGCCCGTAAGTAGATGAGCGTGGATGTTCTCAGCAGCTTCTTCCACTGATTGGGAGTCGAGTTGTGATGCCAAGGGGTTTAGCTTCACGTGCCACCGAGCTCATGATGTGTGCGCAGAGTTAGAGCATAATGTGGGGCCTCTCCCACTGTCTATCCACCTGACAGGCTGGAGGTTTTGCTTTTTAGGTATTGTTGCAGGACTCTGTCCTCCTTTCTTGAAGACAGAGGTGACTCTGGCCTGTTCTTATGTTAGTCTTTCTAGATAGGGAAGGGAAGGGAAGTGGGTAGTGCTTAAAAAAGTGGCCAAAATGAGCCTAAGGAAGACCTGGGTGTTTGAAGAGATGATTAGGGCTCTGTTGAATGCTACATATATTCTTGGTCCACCCACTTTTTTTTTTTTTTTTTTGGTACTGGGAATCGAATTCAGGACCTCCCACTTGCCAGGCAGGCGCTGCCCCACTGAACTGTCTTCCCGGCCTCACTTACTTTTGATGCCTGTGACAAGCTTAAGATGGCTGGGGAGGTGGGTGGGCCAGGCTTGGGACCAAATAGGGCCACAGCGCAGTTTCTAGCTAGGGCTGCCAAGTTTCTGGCTCATGTGGCCAATCAATCTTTTTGTTGAACTTGACAGTCAGGTAACTGGAATCACTCTCACTTCTTCTTTCTTCAGTGCACTAAAAGGTGGGGAACTTGGGTTGTAATCCCATCATTAACATTTATGAGCAGACCTTGGATAACCACTTAGGTATCTTGGCTTCATTTGCCTTTCACGTAAAATAAGGCATAAAGGGAGCAGCTTGGCTAAGATAATGTCTTGAGGCACTTTCTATCTCTTAAGATCTGAACTGTTAAATGGTCATGATCAGTATCATGCGAGATTGCAGAGCAAAAAGCAAATGAAATTTGAAGTGGAAGAAATTTGATAATATGCACATTGAAATTTAGCTGTAGGAGTTATCTTGGGAAACGATCTCTGTGTTTAATGGAACCTCTTTGCTCTCAGCTGATGATTTCAGCTCTCAGGACAACCTTGATGACCCGGAAGCTGGAGGGTGGGATGCTACCCTGTCTGGGGAAGAGGAGGAAGAGTTTTTTGAACTGCAAGTTGTGAAGCATCATGATGGGGAGGTAAGTCAAGCAGCACTTGTGAGAATCTGACGCCAGAAAGTTGCCTTGACCTCTCCAAAAGCCCTTGGAAGCAAAGAGCAGGACAGTCGTTCCAGTGCTAACTTTCTTAATACATATACATGAAAACCTTTCGTTATGACTTCCAGAAGGAGCGGAGCTCGAATGTCACATTCTGCCCATTCGCCTCCCTCCTGGTGGAGGCCCCTCCCGGAGTCGGTGTGGCTGGTGCAGGCAGTGTGCTCAGGAGCTCTGCTTGTCCTCAGCTCTGAGAGGTGGAAAGAAACACCGCTGCAGGGCCAGGAGTGCTGCTGGCACCATGTTTGAGATCTGCTTCGAAAGTATTTTGTAAGGACTTCTTAAAAAGGAGCAGTAGCAGGGAGGTGGGAAAATGGCTGCGTCCTGATTTTAATGGATGAATCTGTGTGATGGGTAAATCCAGAGCACTTATTCCCTTGATTAGAGTGTGCTTGAGAAGTGATATGACAGAGTACGTGAGGAAGGAGAGCTGACTTGCCGCTCTGATGGCGCGTCTTCACTGAGTGCTGTTTCGAGGTCGCAGAACTTGAATCTATCGTGAGGAGACACAGGCCTGCACCCCTCTAGAGAGGGCACATTGTGGGGTGACCAGATTCCCATGTGTGACAGGAAAGGCTGCATAAGTGTTTCAGGTTAAAGGGGTGTGATAGCTAAGTGCAGTTTATGATCCTGGGCTGGGAAAATGGAAAACTTTGAATATGGACTCTGTAATAAATAATAGCACTGGATGGATGTTAAATTTCCTAAAGATGATGGTTAATCTCTCCAGCTTACTTGAAAATAGTTCAGCAAAAATCATTGTGTGTGTATGAAGAAAAGTAGCAGAAATTAACAGTGGGTGGATCTTGATGGAAGTACTGGAGTATGCTGCACTGAATTTTTGCAACTTTTTTTCCAATGTTTGAAAATTTGTTAAAAGTGAAAGCACTCAAGACAGCCAGCAGAGTACCCTGCCCTGTACTGTCCAGACTAAGGTGGTTGGGGCCCCAAGCTCGAGTTCCTCAGATGCTGTCCTTCCAGGGCAGTGCCGGTAGGAGTGCTCCAGCCCTTCCCAGAGTGCGTCCCTGCCGAGGGAGTTGGTGCTGGGAGAGGAGGGCAAAGCCTACTGCTTTCTCCGCTGCAGGCAAGAGCAGAAGCCTCCTGGGACTCCGCGGTGCACAGCTGCCCACAGCTCAGTAAAGGCACGCCGGCGGACGAGCGCGTGTTCCTGATCGTGCGCGTGACGGTGCAGCTCAGCCACCCTGCCGACATGCAGCTGGTCTTACGAAAAAGGATCTGTGTCCATGTTCACAGCCGCCAGGTGAGGCTGGGGCCCTCACTTAGGCCATGACTTCAACCGTGGGCAAGCACAGGCTGTGGAGTACTGAGCTGCACTTTCCAGAGACTGTTACTGTGCTGTCACTGAATGTGTCATCCTGACTTCCTCCTAGGCAAAACTGAGTTGTTACACTGACTCTCCTAGCAGAGTCACACGTCGAGGCCATTCTTTTGGGTGCCTCACAGCCCTGTCTGGGGCACACTCAGTAGTGTGGTTGTCGTCTTTTTTCCAGGGTCCTGCAAGATGAGGCGAATGTTCCTGGCAGATCAGCTGTTACATCTTCAGCAGCTTCTACTTACCCTTCTCTTTCCAGGGCTTTCAGTCCTCACAGTCTTTGCTTGGTTCATCTACTTGGCTTTGGAATAAAAAGACGAAGGAAGCAGTCTGGTCTTTGGAGAACCACAGTCCATTTGTACCCTTGGAGGGCTCACATGGGGACTACACGGAGGGACAAAGTGCTCAGAGCGGACAGTGGCCTTTGAGCTACGCTGTGCAGACAGGGTGTTGGACAGGTGGAGAGGTGGTGTCTGTGCCGAGGAGGGAGGAGGATGGGCAGGCTGGGGAGCGAGGGAAGCATAGTGGACAGGGTGGATGGTGGGTACGCAGGAACGGGGCCCTTCATGCAGTTGGATTATGAAGACCCATGTGCCATGCAGAAGGGCTTAGTGGGAAATCTTTAGCTAAGAATGTAAACTTCCCCTGTTCTGGTTTGGTCCACATAAGGATTTGGGAAGTTGATTCTCGGGATCCTGGTTAACTGTCTTCCTCCCTTTCATGAGGCATTCTTAATACTAAACCCAGGACAGAGGAAAATAAATCTTTTCATTTAGAAGAGTACAGTCATGGTTGACAGACCCCTAGATGTAATCTCCACCCCCTAAAAATTAATCTTTAGTTCTAAATGTCACACTAATATCAATCTTGGAAACGAAGACTGGCGGTAATGCTGCTAAAATTGCAGCTCTTTAGCTTCCTGGTCCAACATCAATAAAACGCAGGTCGCAGGGTTAGGTGTAGACGTACATGGTGCGTCTTCCGTTCCCTCTTGCTGTGTCCCTGTTCTTGTAAGTCTGGAAGGGACTGAAAGGGACACACTGCTCCTGGGAGCATCTTGAAGAAAGAATTTACAGTTTTGAATCAGCCATCCTGGCTGCCAGGCCCTGAGCCCTGCCTGGCACAGCCACCAGCCCTGCACCATCCTCCACAGAGGGACACATTGTGGAGTGACTGCATTTCCACTGTTGATTTTTTTTAATCGTAGGAACAACAAGTTGCCACATTTCATCATGGTTGAAGTGCCTTGAAAATATTTTAAAGTCTGCCATTTTTCCTCTCAATCTCAGATACTGCATTCTTTAAAAATTGCTGCTTTACTCTCAGTCTTGGATATTTCATTCTTTAAAAATTGCTGCTTTATAGTACGAACAAGAATTTCCACAGTGCCCTAATACATGCAAGTCAGCCTGTCTAACGGCACAGAAGCAGATAACAAAAAGCAAGATAGCAGTGCCCTCCATGCTGCCCTCCACCACCCGTAAGGTGGCTGTAGCTCCGCCCTGACCAGGGTCCCTGACCCGGGCTCAGCACAAGGCCAAAGTCGGGGCAGCGAAGGGAGGAAATAAAATAAACACGCTCTTTACATTTGAGGAGCTCATGCCTTCTAGAAATTAACTAAATATAACTGAATGGGAGATAAATTACTGTTAGGTAGGCTTGTGAAATTATGTATTTTTACCATCAAATGAATTGACTTTTCTGTTTCCTTGAGGGGTTTCTGCGTTTCCCTTTTTCCCTCGAGGAGAAAGGCTCTGGGCCCTTTTCTACTCTCTCTCTTCCTTATCTTTATTCACCAACTGCATTCCGCCCTCATCGTTTTCTTCAACCTCTACAGGATGTTCAGTCTTAGCAGCATCTCCAAATGAGTCATCTATGCATTAATTCAACAGTTCAATTCCTAGCTGTGCAAAGAGCGCAGTCAGCATAAACAATGACCAGGCACTCTTAAATCATTCTTCATAACGATCCTGCTTTGGTCAAGAATTTAATGCCTGGACTTGTCAATATTCATGGTATAAAATGTCCATTGTGCTGGGGGAGAAAGTGAGAGCGTCCCCAGTCCTTGTGTCCGTCTGGAGTTAGAAGGTCATTTTGTTTCTTTTTGTAGCATCGAAGCAGAGTTGACCCAGACGCCTGGCGCCAGGTTTCAGGCTTAGGATCTGCACTTGCCATGTGTCGGGGACAAGACCTGTCTGTCACACGTGGCAGGCATCTGATCAGTTGGTTCTGTGCAGTGAGCTAGGGCTGAGGACACTCTGCAGTGATACAGGTTTTACTTATGTTGGAAATATGCGGTTGTCGTTTGGTTAGACTTGTCTTTGGTTAGAGTATCCTTTATGCTGTTTCCTTGTAATGTAAGCTCAGTTTGAGAGGTGAAAAACTATATCTTCTGTTTTGTTTTTCTCTAGGGTTTTGCTCAAAGTCTCCTAAAAAAGATGTCTCATCGAAGCTCTATTCCTGGCTGTGGAGTGACCTTTGAAATTGTCTCGAATATTCCAGAGGTAAAGGATCATATGTGATTTGAATTTACTAAAAATAAGCACTTAAAAAGAGCTAGGTGCCTGAAAATTTACCTGCCCAAGAAATATATTTTAAATGAAAATGTATATTTAAGGAAATGCTATTGATTTTTTTCACGGATTTCCTGATCTTAACTCATAGTGCAGTATACTTACGGCCTTGATGTTTGGTTTCAGTGTTTTGGTAAAGAACTTCCCTTTCTCCTGGGGGAGGACGCAGGGACCTCGCACACCATCAGCCCTGCGCCGTCCGCCTCGTTCCAGGCCTTCGGATTTGCTGACTGACTCTGTCGAGGGAGCACTGAGTGGACAGTGTATATTTTAATACAGAGGCCAGGTTTTGAAAAGAAAGTAGGTAGATCACACAGCACATAGGTTTTGTTTTAAGTTTCTCATGTTCTAAGACACTTCCTTCTTTCCAGTTAGGTTAAATAGTAACTAATTTTTCCTTGAATTTTCAGTCGCCTTATAACAAACACTAACTATTTAACTTTAATCTGGAGTCTCCTGCACGCTTAAAAATTAAGCTGTTTGCAGAGTTAACTAACTAAATCCTCAGGTCAGTAATAATCTGTGTGCTTCATTCGCTGTGAGGATTAAAGTGAGTGTATGCATGTGCTTAGCTGGAGACTTACTGTCTAGTCTCTGAATTTAAGCATTTTCTGTGTTTTCCAGTTGTTTGTCATCTTAACTCTATAAAACGCCTGACCTCAGTTGAGAATGCCAGACTTCACGAACTGTCTTCTCTTTTCCTTTTCTCTCTTTACCGCCTTCCCCTCTTTTTCTCTCCCCCTTGTAGATTTCTAATCCTCTAAAGGGCTTTTATTGTTCAGGTGGTTCAATTTCAAAAGGGAAGAGAAGTGGGGCAATCAGCTGAATGGTAAACATATCCTCCTGTGCTTGGGCCGAGATAAAAATTGTGGAGCTTTGTTTCACATTATCAGACCCTAGCTGGGCATGGTGGTGCACGCCTGTGATCCCAGCACTTGGGAGATTGAGGCAGGAGCATCATTGCAAATTGGAGACCAGCCTGGGCTACAAAGTGAGCTCAAGGCCAGCCTGAACTGCACAGCGAGACCTTATTTCAAAAAGACAAAAAAAAAAAAACCCCAAAACCCCTAAAAACACATTATCAGACCCTGATGATAAAGAAAAAGAAAAAATGGAACTCAAAACTTACTGTCTAAAGACTAGACATAAAAACAAAATGAAGAGATCCCTTAGTAGGCAAGCCCTGAACATTTCTTGTGTTCCACTGTCCTGAAGCCGTGAGGAGGAAGTGCTCCCAGATCAGAGAGCAGCACGGTTTCTGCCTTTCTCCTCACAAGCAGGGTGGTGTCCGCTTCCTCAGACCTGGAGCGACTCTGCGCTGGTGGAGGTGGGGACACTCTTCCAGAGGCAGGGGCGGGGGGTGCTGGGCTCTGCTCATCTCCTCTGCTACCTTCATGGCTCCCTTCTGTTAACTTTGCTCCTTTCTGGTCATGGTTAGTACCATGCCCCAAGGGAGACAAACGCTTTTGTGAACTTAAGCCATTTTATAATTCTACCTTCCCCGTTTTATCTCTTCTGAGGCTTATTTACATTTTTAAAAATATATTTGAAGTTTGAACTTCCTGTAACTGATGGCATCTTAAAATTAATTGGCAGTCTTTTTTTCTTAGTTGTATATAAAATATTTGTTTCTCAGTCGGCATTTAAGATGCAGTGGCATACGGATGTACATTTTATACTTTTTGACATTATCATATGAAATTACAAGTAAATAAAGGATCTGCTTTTCCCCAAGGAGTAATTTGTTATGAAGCCATTTTGCCCGAAATAATTAAGTACATTAATAAAGTCCTCCCTCACTGGGGAGTTTTGCATTTATATTCGTGACGAGCTCATGTTGGAGGAGCAGGGAGGGCACTACCCAAGCGCACACAAGCGTGGATTTGCCTGGATTCTTCTTTGTTGCTCTGCCACTTTGGCCACTGCTGCTCCTGTGGAGGGTGGAGATCCATGTGAGGAGCTCCACATTCTGATTCGGGGTCTTGAGTACTCACTGACAGCTGGCTGTTTCCCTCCTGTCTCCACTGTGTGTCTGCTTCCCACGAGGGCTGTTGGGTTCCCCTTTGTCTAGCCTGGCAGCCCAGCTCCCCTTCCCTTTCCCGCTCTCAGAGGGTTTCGGGTGATCCCATCCTATGGTATTGGTATTGGGCGGTTCTTTTCTGACTCACCTACAGCATCTTTTCTGACCAGTAATTTTGTATATTGTTTGTTTGTTTTTTACCATGAAAGTTGAGAAGGGAACAATTTAGCTAAGAATGGGCTGTTTACCCTCTGTTTGAACAGCCTCAGTGTTAACCCACTACCCTAATCACTGTGTCCTAATTTCTGTGAAAAAATGCATTTTGAGCTCCAACAGCTGGTACCAACATGGAATTTTGGGACCCGTCCTCTTTGTCGATTCAGAACTGTGTGTGTGTATCGGGAAGCTTCTGTAGCGTTTTCTCCAGCAGGGCACTTAATCTGAATGCAGTATTTGTCCTGCAGGATGCCCAGGGAGTGGAGGAACGCGAAGCACTAGCCAGGATGGCAGCTAATGTGGAAAACCCGGCTTCTGCCGACTCGGAGGCGCACATCGAGAAGTACCTCAGGAGCGTGCTGGCCGTGGAAAACCTTCTGACACTGGATCGCCTTCGCCAGGTCAGCGCGCACTGTGGTGCCACAGGGGCCTTAACGGTGACTGTGTGCCACACAGGGTTGTTGTGGCTGACGTCTGAAGAGTTGACTCTGATTAACTCTGAGTAACTCAGGCTGATTGAAATTGGGTCCTTCTGGTTGTGAAGTACAGCTGCTATCTTGGGGCAGCGCTGTCTGGGACGTGTGTCTCATGGGTGTCTTCCCTGACCTCCAGGAAGTGGCAGTGAAGGAGCAGCTGACGGGCAAGGGGAAGCTGAGTAGGAGGAGCATCAGCTCCCCCAACGTGAACAGAGTGAGTAGCGACGCGCCCAGGACTGTTCTCCCCTCTCCGCCCTGCTCCTGAGTCTCACAGCCAGGTGCATTTCTTCCTGACGCTGATTGGAGCCCTGGCCTCACATCTGTGCCTGTCTGCCCCCGTGCCTGCCCCTGCGGTGGGGAGCCATCCCCAACGTGTCTCTCAGGTTCCCCTCCTTCTCCTGTCCCGAGGCCCAGCACAAATGGTGCTTTCACAAGGGTTTGTGGAACCCAAACCAGCCAGTTCATTCTCCTAGCTGAAATCAGTTGCATTTCAGGTCAGGAGACATCTTAGCTAGCGGCTGGTGTGCAGACCAGTCCTGTACAGGCCATCGGGTGGTGGGATGGGCGGACAGGGTAGGGCTGAAAATGGGCTTGTTTGATTTTTAAAAAACATGTGTACAATTTATGTGCATGTTAATGTGGAAACAATTCTTCACAAAGAAATTGCCTTGTGGCACCTAGATTTTTCCTTTCCTCACTTTCGGTAAAGGTGTATATGAAAAAAGACACTTTTGTCCTAGCTGCACAACAAGAAAAGTGACAGTACAAGTGTGTGGGAAAGAGCGGCTGTCCCGAGCCATAGAGTGTGAGCGGGCTGCAGGGCTGTGCCCTGGAGAGCCCAGGGGACAGCATTCATGACCTCAGACCAGAGCACTGGAGCCACTGAGATGTGTAGAAATGCCGCTTTATCTCGAGGTCAATATCTTGCCGTTCCTTCAGAAAATGGTGTATTAAAATACCATGGTACGTGCAGAGATTTGTTATTTGGGATCCTATCATTTTAAATATAGTTTGTGAGTTTTCATTTGTATCAGTACCCAGAGGAAGGCTCAGGCCATGGTAGCAACCCAGCGACTGGTAACCTTTCAATAAAAGGGGCTCACAGGGTGACAGGCACCTGCTCAAGGCTGGCTGTTGTTGTCTCCCTGAAAACCGACGCCCAGACCTGCTGGAAACCTCAGTGCTTATTGTGTCCTGGAGGCCACTGGTCTGCAGCCTTGGCCCTCGTTCCCTGCCCACCCCCGTCCGGCTCCCGCACCTGGAGGGCTGACACTCTCCTTTCTCCTCAGTTGTCTGGAAGCCGGCAAGATCTCATCCCTCCGCACAGTCTGGGCAGCAACAAGGTTGGTGCTGGTCACTGTTTCTTTCCGTTTGAGGCCTGTTTCCCTTTCGTCTGTCGCCTTCTCAAATCTCGTGTTACTTTCACCTGCCGGAGTTCTTCCTCCTCATCTGTACCAAGTGGAATCTATTGGAAAGTGTTGAGAGCGCATTTCGTTTAATCTGCTGCTTAAAATAAGGTTGACTCTACCCTCATTACTGGGATTGAAAAATAATGTTTCTGGTTGACATTTATATTTCCACCTATACTATTTTTCTTATTTCTGTCAGAAAAGGAACTTTGTATCAGATTTTTAATAGTGAAGTATTGATGTAATGATTGAAAATTTATGAGGAATAGGAAAATTACAAAAATTAATGCTGAAATTAACACTGTTGCTTAGAAAGAAAAATAGACAGAGGGCTGGGTGTGGTGGTGCATGCCTATAATCCCAGCACTCAGGAAGCTGAAGCAGGAGGATTGCTGCAAGTCTGAAGCCAGCCTGGGCTGCAAAGTGAGTTCAAGGCCAGCCTGAACTACATAGTGACACCCTGTTTCAAAAAAAGACGAAGAAACAAAGGGTATGGAAATTTTATTAGTTGGAATTTATTTCATTGTTAATATAGCTTCAGCCAAGTAATGGAGTTTCAAGCACATAGGAACTCATTACTGGGAAGAAAGGTTAGCACTTTGTGCAGCTCTCTTACTTGGATGTCACAGGCCGCAGCTTGTGCCCGTCTCTTTCTGAGGACCTGGTGTGTGCCTTGTGCTCTGTGTGGATGGTGGGCCCTGGGAGGAGATCCAGAGTGCATGTCGTCCCATGGGGCTACGGTATGATGTGACTGGGGCAGGGGTAGATAATTACAGTAATTTATAATTATCAAGGCTGAGCAAGGTTCAGATACCACTCTTTCTATACTTGTTCACTGTTCTGCACTCTTGTTTTTGTATATATCTAACGTTTTCCTTATGAAAACGTAAGGCCAGTGAAGATGAAACTATGAATCAGTTAGACTCATTTTAATATTTGGGTTACTAGTAGTTGTCTGAAGAGAAACCAGTCTCTGTCTCTGTTTCTCTGTCTCTTTCTCTCTGTCCTCTGTCTGTGTCTCTTTCTCTGTCTCTCTGTCACACACACACACACACACACACACACACACACACACACACACACACACTCACTCTGCTTTCCAGCTCATCACTTTACTGATGAACCACATGCATGGCCATGTGTCTGTGTAAATGTGCTAAAGTTTACTTCTTGTTTGCTCTAGAACAGTGATCGCTTTGATTAGCTCACCTTAACCCAGGTTGTGATTACCTGAAGAATGTAGTTTTTGGAAGCTTGATTATGTAATGATTTTTAAATGTGAATAAAGAAAACATCTTAAGGGAAATATATTTGCAGGAAGGAACATAACTTTTTGTGTTTTGGAAAGTGTGTCTAACCCAGATCTAAAATTCTGAGTTTCTTGAAAAACATAGGCAAAATTTTTTCTGCTTTTCTGTTTCTCAAAATTTTTCCTGTCGATACTGCTTCAGAGAATGTGACTGTGCTTTGTCCACACCAAACGACAGAGCAAGGGACATAGATACTAGCAGCCTCTGCCTTCTTGCTGTCCTGTGGGGGATTGGGAGGGGCTTCCGAGGTGCTGTGACCCTCAGGGGAGCTCCGAGGGGTGACGCTGAGGTGCACATGGGCAGGCAAGGACTCGGAGCCCCCAAGTTCCAGGGACCCTGTGGGGTGGAGCCCTGGAGGGGCCTTGTGCAGAAGTCCCAGCCCACTGTGCCAAGCAGCTGTGGGCCCGTGGCCACCAGGACTTGAAGCCAGGCCGTGGGCTGCTGACTTTGAGCAGGATAGCATCTTTTCATCTTCTTTTAACTTGAGAGGTTGTACCTGCAGTCAGCCTCTGGTCACTGTGACTGCGTCCAGATCAGCAGGTGACATGCGTGTCCTCACACTGAGATAAGAGGGTCACTGCCCCTGCACTAGGGCCAGGCGAAGGAGAAGGGTGTGGTGGCAGCTGCTTAGGGCCAGCCCTGTTTAATGAAGACGGACACCCAGGAGGTGGAGGATGAGACTGAGCCAGGGGTCTGAGTCCAGCTCATTCAAGGGGGAGAATAGAGTAGCTGCCCCGTTTTCAGTTGACGGGCCCCAGTGGGCTTATTGGAAGGAGAGTATCTTGAAAGGTTATGAGGTTATTTCCCTCTTCCCCTGCCCTCCCCTTCCCCCTTCTCTTGCCTTCCTTCCCTCCTTCCTTCCCCTTTTCCTGTCTTTCTTTTTTGTCATATTGGGGATTGAACCCAAGGCCTTTGCACTGAGCTACTTCTCTAACCCTTTATTTATTTTATTTTGACTCAGGATCTCACTATGTTTCTAAGTTGCCCAGGCTAGGTTTGAACTGTGAATGTCATGCTTCAGCTTCCTAGAGTAGTGAGATCACAGGCATGTACCATCAAGGAATACAAGTATTTTCAAAGTTACATTTCCTCCCTAGTGAGGAAAAAAGTCTTTCTCCCTAATACCGAGGAACAGAGACTCTCCTTACAGCCTTTTAAAGGACACATGTCATTGCATTGAAATCAGAATGCGTTATGAACGCACCAGTAAGAGTGTTCCTTTGGAATGGGTAGAGTTTAAACTAATTGACATGTAAAATATAGAAGTACTACTAACCCCTAAACACAGCACTGCTTATATACATAGGAAGTGGCACATGTTCACAGTCCCATTCTTATAATGGCGAAAGACTAGAAACAAACTAAATGCCTGTCAGTGTAGTCTGGTTAAATGTATTTTACACACACGTGCAAATGGGTTAGTATGCAGCTGTGAAAATGGGAACCCCTCCAGGAACTAACTTGAGAATACTGCTAGGCATCTTCAGTGATCAGACAGGAAGTGCAAAGTGGTAGACTGCTGCATGTGTTGTAAAAGGTGGGGACAAGGAGGATGTATAGCTGGTATAGATATGCTTAACAGTACACAAGAAACTGTACAGACACACAGGAAGTGAATCCTGCCCAGTACCTGCCTGGAGAGAGAGGCAGAAGAGGGCAGGAAGCAAGGCTGAGGTAGGAGGAGCTTCTCCCTGGGTACCCTTTTCCCCTGGTTGGTTTTTGGACCGTGCAACCAGTTTACCTATTTAAAATTTTAAAATGTTGCTCTCTAACCTTTTAAGATGCTAGAAGTTTATATTTAGTGGCATTGGGTGGTCTCCAGTTGTGGCATCCTTAATTTGAGATTATTGAAGGAGCAGTTGCTGGGGAAATTATTGTTTGGAAATGTGAGGGACTCATTTTTGGTTTTTCTCTTCTTTTGGAGACTTCTTGGATTCCTTAGTTTTCAGAGATCAAGGGAGAGGTAATTGATACGTTCCCACTGGCTTAAACCACTGGTGGTACATGCACGACTGTCCGACATGCATGCTTGTCTCACGCAATGGGACTACCCCCTGCTTTCTGACGGGACAGCCATACATGTCCCACTGGTGGTTCACAGCCACTGGCAGTGAGATGTGCAACATACAGCCCTGCTGTGAATGTTAGTCCGGTAGGCTCCCCTAATGAGTGGATGGGATACAAATACTATCCTGCTATGTAAACTGTATGTGTGCTCTTACCTTCACAAGTGTATTTGTAAATGTAGGTTCTGTAGGATATACAAATTGGACCTTGAACTAGCTGGCCCTTTCCCTTTGGAGCAATAACTTTGGTGGTCAGCATCTGATTCTTAGTAAGTGTTGCTTGGTACCTGGATCCAAGACTATTTAGAGAAGTCTAGGAGGTTCTAGCATGTGAGGAGTTAGAGTTAATTCATGCTGAGTACATGGACCTGCGGGCATGGGAACAGAAAGCTGGCAGCAGTGCTCCAGTCATTCTTTGACCCCAGGAGTGTGCAGAGAAGGGCCATCTTGGTTTCTCTGCACAAAGTATTTAATGTCCAGGAGAGTTGAGTCCAATATAATTTAATTCTGGATCCGGCAGTGCAGAAAATGCTAGAAAATATATTTTGAAATCACTGAAAATTGTACTGATAGGAGTTGCATGTACCTCGCAGACTTCTGTGGGGCTATCTTTGGGTTCTCTGCTTGTTCCTGTTAATGCACAAGTCTCTCCCTCTGCTGGGGGCTACCGATGAGAAGTACAGGTTAGAACCTGGAGGGTGGTGTCTTACACACCACATCCCAACAGGAGAGCATTTCAGGTGCCTGAGAGATCTTTAGAAGCCGGGAGAGACCACCAGACAAGGCTCTAGTGTTCTTTACTTTTGTGGTCAGTTGCTGTCATGGCAAAGGATCATCGCTGGGAGCAAGAACAGAAGTAAAGGGTGGCAGGGAGGCAGGGATAGGATTTGGGCTACTGGGGGGTGAGGTGAAGTGGACAAGTTCTAGAAACAGCGTGGCTTCATAACACCTTGCATCAGGCCAGCCTGTTTTACATACCCTCCTTTATTGATTCTCCTCACATAGCAGCCTTGGAATTGCTTTACTGGGCTCCACTAAGATTGAATTGATGAACTAATTAATCTTTAAAAAATAGAATTTGATTATTCCAAATTTTAAATTTACCTTGGAGCCTAAAAGAACTTACTTTTGGGATAAGACTTTCAATTAAAGATATCAAATATGAACCCTAATTGAAGGGATGTTGCTATTTACTGTCACTAGGTGTTTCATTATTATTGTAAGGAGATTTTTAAAATAGTTATAATGAAAATTTAGCAGGCCTTTTATGACTGTCCGCCAGCAGATATTTAGGTGCAAAATTAATTTCAGCCTGTTGTTGGTCTTTCCACTTCAGAGCTGGCTGTGCATTGAAGTCTTTTGCAATGCAAGGAAAGCTATCAACAAAAACGTTATTTCTAAAGCCATTTTCTAGAAAATTATATTTTTAATAAATGAGTAAGGTACGTAGTTCACTCGTAATCTGATTGGAGTTTTTGATGGAATTAAAATTAGTCCATAACTTGAGTGATATTCCCTTAACAAACCAAGCTGTGTGTGGGTCATATCACCTTCCCGAAACTGTCATTACTCAGCTCGGCAGTGGTGCGGGCCGTGCCAAACATGAGTCACTTCTTCCTTAGCTGCATTAGGAGCTACCTTTGGACCTGAAATGTCACTGGCACTTCTCTTTATTTACCCCTTTGTCACTTTGCTGCTCAAACAGGACCCTTTTACGGAAAAGCCAAGGAATGTATGCCTGGCAGAGGAGCGGGGACAGGAGAGCTGGGACCCAGCAGCGTCATCAATGAGGCCTCCTGGGCTCCCCGCTTGTCCCTGTCCTCTGAATGTGGTGTCGGCTCCAAGTGATTGCTGTCTCGGAGAGGACTGTGTTTCTTTGTGTTCCCTAATCGTTGAGGGGCTTATCTGGGGGTCTAAACAAAGCCAGCGTCTTTCTTCTCTCATGTGACCGATCTGTTGACATGAAGAATATTAGAAACAGACCAAAGGTTGATGTTTTGAGATTCTGGGTCGTGTAGGGTGCATATCATTGTGGTGGAAATTAAAAAACAAAAACAAAAGTGTGTTCTTTCACATTTCGAGGCCTGAGCTATCTCGGAGACCCCTAAGTTCCGAAGTCATTCAGAGTCTCTTGTTCATAGTCCCAAGTTCATCACCTTCATATGTATTTTAACTGTGTGTTGCTTCATATTTTTTACTCTCTTGGCATCTCTGTAAAGGAAGGAAAACTGCCCTGTAGCCAAACATCTCAGATTTACTAGAAAGACAGTACTAACCCTGCCCCTGGGGGAAAAGCATGTGCAGCTCACCCTGGGTGCAGAGTTCATCTCTGGCCAGAGAACGGATGTGTAGTGCAGGAGAAAGAATGGTGGATAGTAAAGGAGCGCAGCACAGTGGCTGTGGACTCTGGGCATCTGATGGAGGAGGGACAGCACCTGCCTGTTTTATCACTGGATTTGTGGTTCCCTTGGAAGCAGAGCCCAGTCCTCCCCAGAGTCTTGAGACGCCCATCTGTGGGCAGTGGAACTGGGCACAGCAAGCCGTGGGGTTCCTCTGGGCTGGTTGGCTGGAGGACAGGTGGACAGAAGTGCCCGGTGGTTTAGCTCTCCGAAGCTGCTAGGGCCAGCTGCTGTGGGAAGCCCTGGGAGCGAGGCAGGCAGCCTGACTGCTAGGTTCCACCTTTGCAGTCGTGTCGGGGAGTGCCAGCAGGGCGCCTGAGTGTGTCTTTGTCACTGAGCCCAGGTACTGACTTTTTGTTTTCCTAAGGGACAGAGTGTAGTACTATTAACTGCCAAACAAGGAAGAAAATCTAAAGTAGGAAAACACACTTATTCTCAAATAAGTAAGTTTTCAGAACAATCTTGTATGAACTTGACACTAACCAGAGCCTCCTGAGAAGCCCTGGAGATTGGTGACCGTAGTGTTCAGAGACCCGATTGCCACATCCCAGGTTTTGCAGAGCAGCAGCCTTCCAGACAGATAATTAAATTTAAATGCAAAAATTAACAAAACATTAAAGTATGTAAATCGGCACATGATCCATAATAGCACAACTGCTCCTGCAGTGCAGCATTGCGGAGTTCATGTTTCCCTGCTCATGTGTTTGTGTCTGCTTTGGCTCCCTGCTTCCTGATGAGCACCAAACATTGTGCCATTTTTAAAATGCCATCAAGTGCTGGGCCTTGATAGTCCTTGGGTACAGTGGTGTTCTCGGAGGTAAGCACGACCCAGATCACTTAGAGCTTATTGATTTTATGATCAGTACTTAGGTTGCTGCTAAAAGCAGATAGGTTCCCAATACACAGCAGAAGCCATGCGAGGCGCCCCCCCGCCCCGCCCGTCTTGGGGAGCAGTGAGGCCTGCTGTTTCCACTCCACCTTTCAAGGAGCCCCTCAGTGGTAGGGCTGTTCATCTACTGAGTGCCACTGAAAACTGTCACTACATGCCAGAAATCAGAGGAACTTTAGGTTTATTTAAAACGTGAGGCTGTGCTGCCTGAGGGTCTGCACTCGGGTGTACCCTGTGCAGCCTACTTCCGGGACGGGGAGAGCAGACCCTGAGGACAGTTGCGTGCCCTGGCTTCCTTGAGAAGCAAAGTGAAGAAGGGTATCTCGGGGCAGAGTGTGTGTTGAGGAGATAACGGTGTAGTAGAAAGAGTGTTAGGGAGGATTCACTGGGAGATTGTCATTTGTGAGGTGGGGGGACACCCACGCGTGACACTTGTAAGGTGGTGGTGTCACCATGAGGAGAATTCATGCTGTGAGCACGAGGACGGGTAGGAAGACACGCTTCCGTGATCAGGCTTACGTTCTGGAAAGAGAGTAAAGCTTTGGTGATACAGAACACTTTTTCATCTGAATATCCTTCATTTTTTCTGTAGTTGATTAATAGGAAACAAAATAACTGATTCTGTCCTCTTAAAGGGCCGGTGGGAAAGTCAGCAGGATGTATCTCAAACACCAGTGTCCAGAGGAGTAGCTGCAGTCCCCCCAGCCCACCCTGTTTGTCCCCAAAATAACCACTCTCCAGAGCCAGGTAAGTTATCTTTTCATCTGTCAGTCACTCCCGTGAAATTGGAGCATCTTTCAGAAGAGTTTAAGTCAGGATTTCCGGCCAGGTGGCCACTATTCTGCTAATGTCCTCAGTTTTTCCCTCTTGACTTGACATACTGAGTTACCTTGGCTTTGGAATGTTGGGTTTATCCTGGATTCCTCTGATACATACTATACTCTTGATCCTGGTGTTTTATCCTTTATACTGCTTGACTATTGGCTAATATTTTGTTAAGGATTTTTATGTGTGTTCCACAATGAATATCTACCTGTAATCTGTTATTTTCTCGTATTTGTGTATTTGGTAGGTTTTGGTAGTCGTGATTGTGTTGGCCTGATAAAATGACGAGGGAAATATTTCTCCTCAGATTTTTCTGGAAGGGTTTATGTATGTTTGGTGCTATACCCTCCTTAAATTTTTGACAGAATTCCCCAGTGACGCTATTTGGGTCTGGAAGTTTCTTTGAGGGGAAGATTTTAAATTACAATTTACGTTTCTTTAATACAGGGTTACTTTAAGTTTTGTATTCCTTATGAGACAGTATTAAAGAGTTATGTTTTCCAGTGAATTTTCCCTTTCATGTGGATTAATAAATTTCTCTTCAGCCAGGACTGATGGTGCACATCTGTAATCCAAGCACTCTGGGAATCTGAAGCAGGAGAATCACAAGTTTAAAGCCCAGCCTTGGCAATTTAGCAATTTTGGGAGATCCTGTCTCAAAATAAAGAATTTTAAAAAGGCTGGGATGTAGCTCAGTGCAAAGACCCCGTATTCAGTCTCTAGTACCACAAAAAAATTTTCCTATGTGTCTCGGTTACTTTTCTCTCGTTGCTGAGACAAAGTACCTGACATCCAAAATTAAGGAAGGAAAGGTTTATTTAGCTCACAGTTTGTGGAGGTTTCAGTCCATACTTGGCTGGTTCCAAGGCACAGTAGCATATGGCAGAGGGCAAATATTCATGGTGGCAGAAGACAGCAAAAACAAGAGCAAAAGGAAGGAGTGGCTGCAAGCAGCCTCTTTCTGTCCCTTTCATGTGCAAACTGGGGGGCTGGCAGGGGAGAGAAGCACTCACACCCATAATCCCCATAATCCCAGCACTGGACCATGGGTCAATCATAACCTCTAAAAACAAACCCGCCCCCTGACTGTATGAGGCTTTAGGGGGACACCCATACACAAACTGCAACAATATGTGTCCCAGGGTTACCTTACTATTCTTCTAAGAGTTACAGGATCTCCTGTGCACTTTCTTCTTTATATTCTGATAATGATAATTACCAAGGTTTCCCCATTTTTCTTGAGTATGTCTATGACAGATTTATTATATGTATTAATCTCATAGGACCAACTTTTGATGTTAATTTCCTTTGTTATTTTCTATTTCATTTTAAGAACTTCTGCTTATGTATTTTGCCATATTTTGCTTTCATTATCTATTTAAAATATGTATAAATTTCCTTCTAATTTCTTTGAACTTTACAGTAGTGTGCCAATTCATTTTTGTGTATTTGGGGTGTTTCTCATTCTTATTTAACTTTATTATGGGGAGGGAACAGTTTCATCACTATTTCAGTCTCTAGATGCTATAAAATGTACTTCACAGTATCATTCTTTTTGCTCTAAAACAGCTGTTTATCTTTTAAGGAAATTAAGAGAATTAAGATGGCTACTTATCTTTTAAGGAAATTAAGTGGATCATCTTTTATAGTTTTCTTCATATTTATTATTTCATGTACTATCCAGTCCTCACTAAAGATCTTCTTTTCATCTGATTTCACTCTTTGTAGCCTGAAGGATTTGCTGAAGAATTTCTTACAGTGCAGTTCTCCTGGAGAGAAGTGCTCACCTCTCTTGGGAATATCTTTATGTTGCTAGTTTTGTTGACTTGTTTTTCTTTTTTAAAAGGCTGTTTGGGGTACACAGAGGATTCCAGGCCGCTGGCTTTTTCTTCTAGCTCTTTATAGCGGCTTCATCAGTGCCCACCCTTGACTGCTGTGACTCTCCCCTGCCCTCGTGCTGCCTCCCCCACGTGACGTGTCTTTGGTCTGCTTTCAAAATTTTTCCTTATCTTTACTTTCAGCAGTTGACTATGAGTATTTTCCGTACTACTCATCTTGCTCGGCTTTCACTGATGGTCTTGGGTCTATAAGTTGATTTCAACAAATTTGAGAAATCTTTATCCAGTTTTTATTAAAATGTTTCCTCTGTCCTTATCTCTCCCCTCTCTTCTGCAACTAGTAACGCACGGGCTGGGCTGCCTTGCGCTGCCGCACGGGTCACGGAGGCTCTGTGCTTTGGATCGTTTTCTTTGGACCATTTCTTCTGCCATTTCCAGTGTTTTGCTGAACCCATCCAGAGAATTTTTAAATTTCAGTTATTATTATTTTCAGTTCTAGAATTTCCATTTGCTGCTTTTTTCGCTAGTTTTAATTTCTTTGCTGGTATTTCTTCTCTGGGCATTTGTTAAGGGCACATTGTTTCCCTCCTTGGACTAATTTTAAAAAGTTGCCTTAAAGTGCTAAATCACACAAAGATCTATTTTTATTGACTCTCCTTTCATGACCATGGGTCATATTTAATAAGCTTTGTCCAGTGTGTTTATTCGTACACATAGCTGTGTATGTGGGTAGGTACACACACGCATCTGCCTGTGCATGCACACTCGAGACCTGTCCTACTTAAGGTGTGGGACATTCCCATGACCCCAGATGGTCCCCATCACCAGCTTCCTGTTGCTGCAAGTTCCGCCTGCAGCTGCACATAAAAGGAATCATGGAGCATGTGCTCCTTGTGAGCTGGCTCCTGCTCAGCACGTATGTTTTATCTTGCATATTGGTGGTGCCATTGGTAATTCCTTTTTCTTTATTGCTGAGAAATATGTCACTGTCATAATTGAATTTATCCCAGTTTTTAATTGGTGCTACTGCCTATGGGCAATGTTCGGGTTTTTCCAGTTTGGAGTTACTGTGAATAAAGCTTATTTTTGGATAATTCTGTTTGTAGAATAAACAGAAGTAAAATTACTGAGTTTCAGGATTCCACCTTGTTCTACATTCCCTAAATGTGGCTGTGTTTTTACAGTTAGAATCCATCAGTGTCGACTTGATTTGCATACTTGTTGTTTTGATGTGCTCATCATTGTTCTTGCGGTCCACTCTGTGCTTTAAGGTTAGTTTCTTTTGTAGTGAGTCTATCCATCACCAGTGCTTTTAGCAGTTGTCTGTTAGTGCAAGCCCTTGATTTCTTTCATATGTTAAAAGTTTTAATTTTTCTCTCTCACTTTTATTATGGAAATTATCAAACAGGCAACAGTAAAAACAAAAAATACCATGATGCCTCCCCAAATAGCCCCTGGATTTCAGAGTGACGCCCGGCCAGCCTGACTGACCTGTGCACCCAGCTTCTTTCCCACCTCCTGTGTCATGTTGTGATCCGTGCAGCCTTTAAGCTGTTAGGGCTTTCAGTGATAACCAACAGCCCACTGCGGCACCCGGACCGTAGGTTCAGCACCACTCGGCTGCATCCTCGTTCAGATTCGGACCATCGTCACTCTAGAATGTTAGTCACTAGATAGAGCGCTCTGGATTGTGTGTTCTTCCCAGCATTGATGTGATTACATCTCTGACTCTTTATTCATCTTAAAAGTTATTTTCTGCTCATGTCCCTTTTTTGTTTCTCTTCTCTGCATTTTCCTTCTTGTAAAATATTTAACTTTTCTGAGCTCAGTCATAATGTCTCTCTTGACGATGGGGCCATCTCACGTCACCTCTGAATTTTTCAATCAGGTCACGCTGCCTCTTGTGTAGTGCAGAAACCTTGCCATGTGCCGGTCTCTCTTGTGCTCTGCCCGTGAGTCTGGAGGTCCCGTGAGCTTGTGTAGAGTAGAGGGCTGGTAGTGTTTCTGCCCTTTTGTAGGGGTATCTTGCAGGTTCTTCAGGGTGATTTCATTGTTCTTTCAAGGTGATACATGGATATGGTGTTTTATCATTTATACCACAGATATGATCAGCACTTCTGATCCCAGTCTTTGGTGAATGACAGCAGGGAGGACATAGTTACTGTAGACACTGTCCTTCTCTTTTTAAAAACAGCTGAACACTGCAGGCATGGTGGTGCATACCTGTAATCCCAGCACTTGGGAGGCTGAGGCAGGAGGATTGCCATGAGTTCGAGGCCTACCTGGGCTACAAAGTGAGTTCAAGGCCTGGATGAACTATATAGTAAGGCCCTGCCTCTTAAAAAAAAAGCTGAACACGACCCTTTCCCCCAAAGTTCAAGTTTATTGTTTCTTCTAGTAAATAGTTATGAAAAGTTATAGTTGAGGAAGATCATGACTTTAAGAGTTTGACATCTACAAGAATGACATCTACTGGATGTCACTGATTATGTGGTTTAAAAATCCAATGCCTTTTCATTCTAGAGAGCAGAAGTTAGTCCTTGTACCAGTTGTTGGCAAGAACTGGGGTGGAGTACCCTTCTAATGCTGATGGAAACACTGGTATTACCACCTTGTGGGTTATTTAATTGGTTGAAGAAATACCATTGTATTGGAGGATACTTATGGTAATAGTATATTTTTCTAATATTAATTTTTTAAGGGTAGCTTTTTAAAATTTATATTGTAAGCTTTGCTTACAATTGATAAATGGCCAATGTATAGGAGAAAGATATGCCTGCAGTTGGTTTTATCTTTTTTTCCTTTCGATTTTGAAATAGGACTCAGTAGCCTCACAGCCTCCTACTTGAATCCAGTAAAGTCCCTGGTGCCGCAGATGCCGAAGCTGCTCAAGTCTCTGTTCCCTGTCCGTGATGACAGACGGGGCAAACAGCCACTGCCCCTTGCACATCAGGTAAGAGGCACCGAGAGAGCAGCAGCAAATGTTCTCTAATAGGTTGCTGGCAGAATGGGCCGGTGCGTTGTGCTGGGGCTGGGCGTGGAGGGAGAGCAACAAGGGGGACGTTAGAACTGGGCTTTTAAACCTGGCGAACGCTTGTGATAATTTCTCTTCCACTCTTCAGAGATAACAGAGCTGTTTAAACTTACTGACACGCCCCATCCTTTCTGCTTTTAAAAAATGCCAAGTACGCTACTAATGTGATTTATGGTAATATCACTTAGAGCAACAATGGTAAAATTTATGAAGTGCACTTAGTGTTGTTTGTGTATTGCCAAGTAGAAAATGTAATTCTATTTTTAATTCTTGATTTCATTTCTCATTTCAGACAATTTTGTATCATGCCTCTCCTTACCTCTCAACCTCTGTTTCCTCTGCTGTGGATAATCTTCTCTTTCATTGAAAAGTGATCGCTTGTCTTATTTCCTTTTTTCTTCAGTCTCTCCCCAGCCCTGGAGTAAGTGTTAGAGAAAAGGTTGAAGGGTTCTCTAAACAATCGGGGAGCTGCTCTTACGCCACGGTGAACAGGGACCCTGCTGCAAATGCAGTTTCCAGCCCGTGTAGGTGTTAGCTCAGCAGAAAATGATAAATGAGGGTTCATTTATATTCATTCAGAAACACATACACTGCAAGTGCAGTGGGTGAAATAAGTCTTTTGATATTGGCTTCTCCATATTCTTCTTTTCCCATATTCTTTTAAACGAGTTGTAGAAATGCAGGTCAGTGGTTATCTGAGACTGAACTGTTTACAGGACCTTTCTGAGTTTATGAATGTGTATTTAAGGGAGACAGAACTGCTTCTGAAAGGCCGCTGGGAAGATATATAATTTTTCCATGAGCCTTGCATAAGCATAGGCATTGTTATCTAAGCATATGAGCAGAAGCGTATGTACACAGCAGATGGATTAAACTGAGATTCTGGAAATGCTCAGGCTGTAGGCACATGGGGGTACTTGACAGTTTATGAAATGCATGTGGGACTGTGGGGAGGCCAAGGTAGGCAAAAACTTTTTCTAGTGGTTTGTCATTATATGCACCATGCCATTCTTAATATCTGTGTCATTGATTCACAAAGTACAGTGTGCAAAGTGAGTTCAGGGAGTTACCAAGGTAGCTTTGCAAAAAAAAGTAGTTTCTTAGCCCGCCCTAGTGACCCATGGCCCACCGAGGCATGCTGCATTTATAAGCACCTGTGGTGCTTCTTGTTCCCATTTAAGTTTAATAACAACTGTTTCTCAATTGCTGTTCAGTGAAGACAGTTATCTAAGTCAGAGGAAATTGGAATCACATTAAATTCATTGACTCAGCCTACCATAGTTATAATTTTTTTAAAGCTATTTTCAGTTTTTGATGTAGCAAGTCAAAGCACCTGCCACACAGGAGGACTTATTTACACTCCCATTGTTTCGGCAAAAAGTGATTGGCTCCCTGGGCGTGACAGGAATATAGCGTGTTTGAAGCAAACCTGCTGGTGGAACAGAACTGTGACTTGTCACATCCCGGACCACAAGAGTTACTTGAAGTATTTAAGAGTTCTCTTGCTGGGCGTGGTGGCGCACTCCTGTAATCCCAGCACTCAGGAGGCTGAGGAAGGAGGATCGTTGTGAGTTCGAGACCAGCCTGGGCTACAAAGTGAGCTCAAGGCCAGCCTGAACTGCATAGTGAGACTTGTCTCAAAAAACAAACAAACAAACAAAAAGAGTTCTCTAAGCACTTTTTGCTTATTTACTCAAGTGGTTTTTTTAAGCATTATGGGCAAAAGTTTTGGGGAAACTGGCCTTGCAGAAATAGTTCATGTTTCATAGTATATAAAAACATAGGCCTAAAACTGCCTTAGTGAAAATGCCCACTAGTCCAGTGTGCTTGTGAAAACACCTGCTTCCTTTGTCTCAAGCTCATGGTCTGTGTCCTCACTGCCTTGCCTGTATCAGCACAGCGCTTCCCAGGGCTTCCCCCAGGACCACTGCACCCACCCAGCCTCAGGTGTCCAGGTGCCCGTGCTGCGTCGCAGGCCCTCTGTGTTTCCCCAGTCTGTCTCCTTCTGTGGGTGACCCTGCAGCTTTGGGGCTGGAGAGGTCTTCCAGCGCTCCCGTGACTCCATGGCTTGGAACCTTGCCAGATGGAGTCAAAGCCAGATGTCTTACTGGGTCTTCTGATGCCTGCTAGCGTCTGGTGCCTGACCTTTCACCTTCACGCCCTTTCTTTCTCTATTCACTGTGTCTTTACCACCTTTTTGTGTCACAGACATATGAAGCACGCTGGAGTCTTCAGAGCTTTGGCCTTTGTCTTTCCTTCTACTGAGCATGCTCACTCCGAAGTCCTTGTGTGGCCTCTCCGTATCTTGTAAGATGTCTGCTTGTGGAGGGGTCACAAAAGGCCATTCTCAGGAAGAACAGCTGAAAGTGGCCTGTCTTCCTCAGCTGAACTAAAACAGCCTCCTCCACACATGCATGCGCAGTCGCACGCTGGACATTACCATTGTTTTTTTGGGAAGAGGCCAGGTATTGGGTATTTAACCCAGGGCCTTCCCACTGAGCTATACCCTCAGCCCTCTTTCGTTTTCAGATTAGAGTCTCCTTCAGTTGCCCAGTCTGGGCTTGTTTGTGATCCTTCTGCCTCAGCCTCCCAGTGTTCTTGGATCTGTGATTTTTTTTTTTTTTTCAGTACCGGAAATCGAACTCACAACCTCGCGCTTACCAGGCAGGCACTGTGCCGCTGAGCTAAATCCCCGGCCCCTGGATCTGTGATTGATCTTACTGGACATTATTACTGGGTTTACGTGTTGGTGGTCTGTCTTCCCTCTAGACAATAACCCCTGGGAACAGAGCCGTCTGTGCCTGACCCTGCCTGCTATACAGAGCTCTGGAGAGGGCCTCAGGTGGCTTGCCATCCATGTACAGATTACACAGTTAGACTATGGGCAAGTGTCAGGCAGCAGTGGGAAGCACAGTGTTCTAGGGCAGAGGTGAGAGAATCACAGTGGAGTGGGATTTGCGGGATCTGGATGTGCGTAGAGGTAAGTTACAATTTTAAAGGGCAGCATCACCAGAAGTGTTTTCTCCCACTCAGGTTCCTTTAATGTGCATTAAGTTGTTACACCCTAAATGGTGTTTCATGCTTGGGAATGGAGCACTTCAGTACTGGTGGGATGGGAAGTAGCAGTAAGAAGAAAAAAGGTGATACTGCAGTGGTGATCCCCTGTAATCCAGCACTCTGGGAGGCTGAGGCAGGAGGCTCACAAGCTCAAGCCCAACCTGTGCAATTTAGTGACTTAATGAGACCCTGTCTCAGAAGAGTAGGACAGGCCAGAGGAGTAGCTCAGTGGGAAGGGCCTCCTTCAGGCCTCAGCACCATGAAGCACAGCTGGGGCAACGTCCCCCCTGTGGTGTAGTGATCTTCACTCTAGCACAGTCCCATTCACTGGAAAGTCAATTCGAAAGCTACAGTTTGAGTTTCTGACTTACAAATGAAAATCTTCTTCGCTTTCCTCTGGGTCCTCCGAGAAAAGGCCTTGCTCCAGCCATGGCCTCCGCGTCCTCTGGGATGCTTATGTCGAGGTGTGGGAAGGCCGGCCGGGCCTTGGCTCCGTGGCCCCTCCGGTTCCCACAGCCCTGCACTGCACTCCTTGGTGGTCGGCTTGCAGTGCTGCCTTGCTTTCCCCTTGGCTTGGAAGGGAGTAAGCGCCTGGCTGGAAATAGGCACCCTGTCCTCCTCATCCCGACCGTTCTCCCGGAGCATGAGAGGGTGTCTTCCTTGTTTATAGAGGAAACATGAACTCCTTGTGCTTCTGGCTAACATTGCTGGATAATTTGGTCCATTTTCACTCTCATAAGTGTTCTTTTATTATTATTTTCTAATTGATGCATGAAAATAGAAGAGGTGATCAAATTATACAGTGAATGCTTAAATTTAAAAATTATTGCAGTGAGACCCACTGCCATCAATCCCTTCCAAAATACTGTCCCTTTCCTTAAACACCCTTATCCTGTCGTTCTTGCCACTTTCTGAAGCAGTTCTGGAAGTTTTGTGAGTGTCTCTACAAAATGTGATAAAAAATATGATAAACGTTGGCACTAGACAAGCAGGCTTGTACAAACAGGGTGTGGCCAGGGATGGCGGCACAAGCCTGTAATCTCAACACTTGGGAGGTTGAGGCAAGACAGTTGCCACAAGTTAGAAGCCAGCCTGAGCTACATAGTGAGTTCAAAGCCAAGCAGAACTGTATAGCAAGACCCAGTCTCAAACAAAACAACAATAGTAATCCCCAAACAAAAACATCACAGTGCGTCCTCAACCACCTTATCCAAGGGATCTGGCACCATGGGAGTTGTGGCTGTTCCCCCAACTCAAAAGGCCCAGGGAAAGCAAGCATTTTGAATTGAGGACGTGGAGACAGCTGTAACAGTGTACGTGAGGACGCGAGAGAGACTTCCAGAACTACTTCAGAGCGTGGCCAGCACAGTGGGAGGAGGGTATTTGAAGTGAGGGGGAGGACTTCGAGGAGGATTAAGGACAATGTGTCTTTTGCTGAAGCACATTTTAAAAAAAATTTAGACGTTCACTGAACATTTTGATAACACCTCAGAATTAAAGGGAGACTTCAGATTCGTATCTAAAAATTTTTATTTTGATTTTGTTTAACATTCCTGGGATGTCAAGATCTTTTTAAATTTTTAAAAGAAACACATATATTTTAGACATTGCATGCATACTTTTTAAAGTTGAAGTCTGTATTTGAGTCACAAACACAATATTGAATGAACATTATGGGCCCAAGGCAGAGCCCTGCCATCTGCAAGAAAGCCATTCGAGCCACAGAGAGACGGGTCAGTGCAGATCAGCAAACTGAAGATGGCTTTCTACCGAAGCGATCAGGGAGACTCTGACAGTTATGGAGGCAGAGTGAGCCCGTGTCTGGGGCCTTCCTATCCAGAAAGCCTAAAACAGAACGACGT